TCACGTGAACAAGACGAAACAGTCACCGTTGGGCATATCACGTGAACAAGACGAAACGACGTAGGTAGCAGCTTGCGGTGGTAAGTGGGCATGACGGTGAGAGCGAAAGCGTGGAGGCAGGTCGGCCGCAAAATCGGCAAGCTGCGGCAACTCAAGCTGAAGAGCGCCTGCCACACAATAAATCAGTTCGGAATGACTGGACAGAAAATCCAAGCCAAGGATTAGATCGTGGGGACACTGGTCAATAACGGCGAATTAAACAGAGGTAGAATGACCGGCTATACAAATACGGGCAGTGCATATTCTGTGAACGAAAGCAGTTCCTCTATTGGCGACTTGGAGTGTGCGGGAAGCGGCAAGTGTGAGGACTTCGTTCAGACGGCGGCGAATGCTCGCGCTCATAACTGAAATGTGCGCTCCCGTGTCAATAAGCGCCGAAATAGGTACACCATCAGCGTTATGCAACGTCCAGCAAACATCGTCTCATCAAAAGCGTCCAAAAAGCATTTTGGGGCGAAGTCGACAAGGCAGCGTCACCTCCGGGTGCTGCACTGTTTAGTTTTCCGGGTAGGAAGGAGCAGGATTAGACGGGGAGGACGGCCGGTGAGTCAGCGGTGAGCGAGACGACTGGCGACAACGTGGAGATGAGCGTGGCTGATGACCACGGGGCGACGGGGAGTGGCTGTTGAACCTTGTGTATACGATGGGGGAAGGGAACTGGATGGACAGCGCAGTCACCCTGTCAGCGGTATGGGGCAGACGATACCCAAGGTAGCGAGGACCAGCGGGCATCGCAGTAACAGACTACGTGGCCGATACGATCGCAATGGAAACAAATCGGCAGGTTGTCCGCAGTCCTCCAAGCTGCAGGGTCACGAGAGCGGGCAGCAGGAAAGCGCTGCTCGGGTTATAGGACGAGGCTGGACGCCATGAGGTTGGCTAGCTGTGGACTGGTCACAACGAACACCGAGTGGATGCCGATACTGGCGAGCTCCTGACAAAAGATGGCCTGAACCATGGGAGCAGTAACCGGTGTCGTATCAGCTGTAAGCTGGAGCAGGAGCCATGTAAGCTGGAGCAGGAGCAGTGTAAGCTGGAGCAGGAGCCATGGCTTCAATCTCACGCCTTACGATTCTAGTCACGTGGTCTGGCGAAACGGAAGCCGTTGATTGCATCTCACGCGATCTTCGCGCGACGACGTTGCAGCCGTGTTGGGAAGCCGGGCAAAAGCGTGGCGCTGGTGCGCCGGCTCTTAGCTTGTTTAAAGCGCCTGCACTCCTTTATAATGGCGTCCACGGTCTTATATATTAGAAGATTGAAGGCGTCGTCAGCAATCTGTTTAAGAATATGCCCAACTTTGTTGGCCTCCAACATCTCGGCATTGACTTTCCGACACAAATAATTCACATCCTCAATGTATGAGATGTACGATTCTATGGACGTTTGCGCCCGAGACGCGAGCATTTTGCTTGCAGCCATCTTTCGTCCAACGGGCTTCCCCGAACAAGTCGAACGTTTTCTGCCTGCACGTTTCCCAGCTCCCAAGTTCTGCTTCATGGTTTTTATACCACACTTTGGTGGTTCCTTAAGTAGAACAACAGGTTCACCAGCGTAAGAGTTAGATCCCATCGGTATCGAGTACTGACACGGTCGTACTCTGCCAGCCAATCCTCAACGTCCACTTCATCTGGATCGCCGGAACCGCTAAACCTGTCAGAATCCCGTGGGGGTCCAAGCATGAAAGTTGTAGTCGCCGGAGCAGATGTAGTCACCGCATCATCTCCAGCCACAGGAACACCGAGTGCAGATGCAGACGCCGTATTTTCCGTCATAGTTGCAGAGTTACCCATCAAACGACGACCGCTGCGAAGTTCCGTCGCGAGCTAGGCACCGCGGTTACCCAGCACGTCCACCAAGTGTGACGGAGGCGAGATCAAGGTTGATTGATTGATATGTGGGGTTTAACGTCCCAAAACCACTATATGATTATGAGAGACGCCGTAGTGGAGGGCTCCGGAAATTTAGACCACCTGGGGTTCTTTAACGTGCACCCAAATCTGAGCACACGGGCCTACAACATTTCCGCCTCCATCGGAAATGCAGCCGCCGCAGCCGGGATTCGAACCCGCGCCCTGTGGGTCAGCAGCCGAGTACCTTAGCCACTAGACCACCGCGGCGGGGCGAGATCAAGGTTTATTCAGCTGATCGTCAGCCAGACGATACGGCCGAAGAGTACTACGCCCTAGCTCTACGTTTACTTGTCGTTTGCATCTTCGGCTACCACTACCCTGGATCATGTCTATATCGCACCGTGACACTATTAAAAGCCTTCAGCTGTCTTCCCCTACGATTCGAACAACGGCAGGCCGGAAATAGGGGCTTGTGACTCGGCAGTCGGCGCTCGCGCGTTGAGGTAAAAAAAAAAGAAGACTGTACACTCGAGGTTGCAGTGCCAAGGAAATTATTTTTAGGGAGGTTGTTGGTTGCGTCTTCTGTTGCGAAAACCAACGGTCACAGCTCTTATCACATGACGTTTGGGAATTTCGGCACTTTTCCACACAACGTTCCAACATATCGGTGCCATCGTTGAAGGCTGGCAATAAATTGTCTAAACATTATGAACTTGTTTGGCAAATCAGGCTGTGCTGGAGTTGTTGAATAGACTAATCAGCTGTAATAGACTAATCAGCTCACCTTGTGTGGTCCCATTCTGTTGTATACTGTGTTACATTCGTTTCTTCATTCTTTTAATAAAACTGCTTCTACATCACGGAACAATTTATTGCTGCTGATAAGCATGATTATTCGTACACCTGCGTCCTACACTAAACATCATTTATCAAATACATGTTAATCGTCTGCGTGTTCAGATTTATTATAAACCGATGTGTTCTAAATAAAAATGGGATCAATGTGGTATGCTAAACTAGCCATTATTATTGTGGAACATAGAACTGGAGCATTAAGAAGTGCAAAAGTTTTATTCGGTCCACTATAGATGCAAGTAAACTTAACGTCAAAAACTTGTAGATGTGCACAGTGAAGAAATGCATGGGTGAACAAATATACGCTAGCGACGTTGCTTGATGGTTTGGTCACGTTCACCGCGACTGACATAGGAAGTGGGAGAAAAACAGGCAAGAGCTCTAGCGAAAGTTCCTTTCAGTCCTTAAGGTCCTATGGTAACTGACGGGCTGCCAACCAAGTGTGCTGCAAAAACAGCTATACTAGCTTGTTTTATGTTTCTGAAGCCATTAGGTACTACAAAATTCCGAAAACGCCTTAGAAAAACATCTACAGAACGTCTTCACTTGGCCTTGTCAAGCCCTTTTCCAGCCTACACTTAGCATGACATCAGCATGGCCATGAGACGGTCGGATAGCCCTTCGTAGTTGTCTACAGAATGCTTTAACCAAGACATCCATTAGTTCTTTTCGCTGGCCACTAAAGATTTTTAGACGTCAAAGTTTGAGGCACTGTCAGACATTTATTTTGGGGGAGTGGGGGACATTTTTTTAACCTCAAATGGGGGCCAGGCAGGCAAGCGTGGTCGTGAAGAGTCATTTTGTCGCCTATATGCCAATGCAGGAAAATTTTCGTTTGGAGAAGGGGGGAGGGTGTTGGCTATATTACTGGAGAAAGTGGCTGCGGCCGTAGCATTCAAGCTGGCCGAGAGCCAAAAGCCATGCTGTTCTTTTATAAAGCATAACTGTTGTGCTAAACGTTTCTCCATGAGGTGCAACATAAAAACTGTCATCCTGATGATCCGGCAAGCGCTCTCTTCACCCTTTTCTGCCATGGTCAGTCTACTGGTAGGACAAGAAATGCTCGCAAGTAGACTTAATTGGCTTAAAAACAACTGTGTATAACTTGAAATTATATTTTACACACTTCAGGTAGCTTCAGGCTGCACCAGAGACGAAGTTTTGCTTTTTTTTCTGACGCGTTAAAAGAGGCGAATGGTGATGCCGCAGGCAGCATGCCTGCCTGCAAACGGCGGAGAAACGTGATCATGCATCTGTCGCCGCTCATAAGAACAAACACTGCCACCTGCATCTTCCCACAGGGGGAACTCGAGTAATGTGTCGCAGAGTGATGGGGTATTGCGTGAATGTTGCCTAATTGCGTACAGTTTGGGAATTCTTAATTATTATTTATTCTTTATTATTGTTACTTATTGAATGAAGGAGGAGTGTTGCCTTCAAAGTCAAGGGAATGCCAAGTAAAGACGCTCTCGGCTGAATTCCAAACGTGCGAATAATATGCTTTGCATTTAAAAAGTGTGAGCATGCCTTAAATAAAAACTAAGGTATTTGTTTTATTATTATAAAAAACTTGACGAAGTCTGCAAAAACCACATGCGGTTTCAGTTTTCGAACTTAACCAGCCTTAGAACTGTCATCGCCTCCGCCAACCAGCATTGTGGATATTCATCCCATCAATGAAAAGAGACCAAAGGCAGAGCCAAAAACTTCGTTTAAAAAGTTTCCATACAATTTCCAGGAAAACTACTGCAAGGTTAGACACTTCAGCTGGCACGCTTTTTATTTTGACACGAAACAGAAAAGCAATGAAGGACTGATCGATTGATTGATATGTGGAGTTTAACATCACAAAACAGCAATTAAGGATAGTAGACAGTCCCATTAGGTTAATACTCAATGCATTAGACAACTCCTTAATCCATGCCCTCAAATGAGACGCCTACAATTGTGATGCCACTAGGAGAAGACCCAGTGTGATTCAATGAGGCCATTTCGCCTTTGCTGAATATCTTGACCGAGTCGCATTATCCAAATGCATACAGCACCATGCTTCTGTTCTTCACTTTAATTCTTGGGAGTTATCTTTTTTTTTTTTTCAGGTTGATATAACGTTCTAAATTTCTATATAATTTGCCACTCCTGAAGCAGCAAACAAATCGAATTTACAGAAGCATGGCCTAACGACTAATGTGAGCGACCCTCTCCTGAATGCAATACACCTCAAAAACCAAGAGGTATCTGTAATGTTTTATTTCGAACGTAAAAAATGTGATATACAGAAAGAAGGAAAGTTGGTGCTCAAGGCACACACACACTCGCGGAAACCTTTGTATTGCGTCAGTTGCAACATAACATCTATAAACTAGTTGTAACATGCATAGGAATTATATTGGTCCAGTTTTCTTGAGTATTGATCACATATTTTCTAGAGAAGCTACTTTGTTACCAATTTTAGACAAGGATGATACGCCAAATCTATGATTTCTGCTAGGTTCACTAAGTGCTTGGTGTTGCTATCTGATTGGTGCTGACTGACATCATGCTTTCAATCTTAATTCGTCAACCCACATCATTAGACAGAAAGGTCGTTGGAACTCTTATTGTTTATGAAAAATTATCAAACTTGCTTGTGAAACCTTCTGTTAAAAATTCATTGAATGGGCACAACTTGTCATACAACCAACTGCATAGGAACTGTATTTATTTGTACTTGGGTGTAGCTTGCACGATGTGTGCAATGTGTGCCAGGAAAATGAAATTCAACTGCTTAAGCTGCCAACATATCTCCACGCAACATATAAACAGAACAGAGCTGCCAGCCACATAGAGTACAGCGCAAAACAGGTACTCAGTAACGTGGTTTACACAAACCTGAGAGGCCCGGCAGAAATGTATGACAAAGTAACATAATACACTCTAGCGGCATCAGGAATACCTTGTAAGAAATTAGGTTAAGATGACGAGCAAATGTTGTTGAGCACAAGGGGTGTGATGTGAATGATTTTCACAGGTGTGAAATCAGCGCAAACAAAATGCTACCAGTTTTCCGCACCCGAGTTTCGTTTCAGCAGTGTAATGAAATCACAGCTACGTCTGACCACCAGAGTATGTTGTGACACAAAGGTGCACACCTTACGAGACATAAACAAATAAAATCAAGCATATGAAACTAACGGGTTAAACTTTTCTTTTGTAACAAACAAATCGGGTGAGCAACACAGAAGCATTACGTTGACTAAATCAACTTAAGCGATGTGTGGTTATCATCAAAGATCGCAAGAAAAAGAGGACTGCATGCGAGACCCACATTTTACAAATACACCCAAGTTCTTCACAGATGTGACGAACAGAGTTGCACTAACTTGCGATGGCATCCATGATTGTCCAGGCAGAAATAGGCACGACTGGGTAAAAAAATTTAAACCTTCAAATGTTTCCAGGACGTTAAGTTCAGTGTAAAAATTAGGAACAATCTTATGTGTTTGACAACTCTGCCAGTTGACTGTGCCCAGTGAAACGCATTAGGTCTCGTCATGATGCATTTCGCACACTGCACGAAACTGAGAAACTATAAAAATTGTGGCCAAGAGCATTGCGAAATAAATGCGAGCCACAAAGGCTACTGTAAACAAAATGCCGATTAGGCATGAGAGCATGCAACACAGCTTTACATTGTAACGATTAGCACAGGCTTATCCTTTTGCTTCATCTTGTTTCTATCAGTGTGATTTAACACAAAGTTTCTCTTTCGGATATTGTCGTTGTATATACAGTCAAATCTCATTAATTCAAACAAGGTTAATTTGAACTTCCGGTTAATTCGAACTCACGCTGTCAAAGCTATGTGTATTCCAATGGGCGAAAACGCCCTGTATTTCGAGTGTGCGAGCACTTGCGACTGATAATTCGAACATACCGTACTCCGAAAATGCTCTTGGCACCGTGCCCAATCTCGCGGCGGCACCTCCAATACCTGAACGCTGCACGCGAAGAATGAAAAAAAGAAAAGCAAGAAAAAAAAGGCTGCGACGAAATGTTTTCTCTCTCTCATATGCGCTCTGCGACAGGCCTGTACTATGCTTCTTTCTCTCTTTTCTGTCCCTGCTACGAAGAGACTCTTTTCCTTTAAATGCCCCATGGAAAGAAAAAAAAAAAAGAAGCAGAAGCTGTCGCACAGCGATGGTTCTATCTCAAATGCCGATCTGCTTCTCTCCGGGTGGAGACGCTCCTCCTTTCTCGTCAAGTGCAGGCCACGCTGCGGCTGCGGCGCAGAGGTGGTGGTAGTGGTTAGAAGAGGAAAAGGCACTTAATTTCTGCAGCCCAGTAAAGAGCACGGCACAGTGCCTATGGGCGCAGAGGGTGGCTATCATTACGCAGTCGTTGCTATCGTCTTGAGAGAGTGTTGGCACTGGACTTCTCTTGCCAGGTAAATGCTAAAGCCGAAATTGAAACGCTTTGGAAACTGCATGCAAAATTGATTGATTCGCTGCAAGGCAAACATGTGCAGATGCACATCACCGATTACTTCAATTGATGACGAATGTCCTGCGATTTGTGAATAAATTTAAGTCTTCTGAAGCTTTTCTCTCCTGTGTTGGCTCAATGCACATGCGCCACTGCATGGTGAGCTCTCCGTACATTTAGCTTTCATTATTTCGAACTTCTTTTAATTTGAACAAATTTTCAAGTCCCTTCGAGTTGAATTATCAAGATTCGACTGTACATTACAATCATTGGATCAAACATTAGAAGTGTAAACTGCATTCAGCAACTCTGAAAATGTCAACCTAGTTCATTACATTCTCTTGAAGGTATCCAAATCTCATGGTATTGGGCATTATAATTATAATGCCATGAAGAGGGCATTATAGTCACAGAAGAGGACCGCTTGTAGTCACAGCTGACACACATTACAATGGAGTAAAATGCGAAGAACAGTTTTGTACAGAGAATTACATGCCTGTTAGAGAACCCCTGTCTCCAACATGCCTCATAATAATATCTCTGCTTTTGCAAGTCAGACCTTAGCAATTATCAATAAACATGCTCAGTAAGTATCTGAATGTAGTCAGCAGGCACACTTGGAATACTGTAGATACACTGAAAATGCAGTCAGAAATGACAGACATGTTTATATGTATGGTTGTTATAATTGGGTGAGACTTTCCACTGACTAGTGCAGCCAACTTCAAGCCTTTTGCATTGCACACAGCACATTTGAGAAAACAATACACTTATCAAATGGGGCCATGATAAAGCCATTTGGCAGAGGTAAGATTAACTAATATGTGCCATTTTTACGCCTTGTGACTTGCTTTGTTGTGGAGACAACTACTAAAAAGCGAACATGAAAAATGGACAACAGAGCATAGCAGAACATCAAAAAGAAAATAAAATCATGTTATGCAGGGTAGCTAGTTTACACTTTCAAATGTCCCATGTGGGTATAAAATTGTGCATGTACAAACACAAACACATATGCACATACATACAACCATAAATGGCAGCTGCATTGATACAGTACTGGACGTAACTCTGATTTAACATGCCTCTTTTTTTATAAAGTATTCACTTGCAAAAACAAAAATTACATTTCGTGCAAGACTTAAAAAGTATGGCTGGACAAATGAGGAACACAATTTTTCTACAGTAAGAGTTCGTAAAAATTACGACCAGATGAGTGCGCCACATGCAAAACATAACAAATACAAGAGAGCAATGACCTTTAGTTGTAAGATTCTCTGCACATCACTGCACAGGATGACTATCAAGTGCAGTCAATGAGCTTGCTCCAGTATTCAGGATTTTCCCGCAGCACCATAGGTCGACGAACTCACGATGAGTCGACTCGCTTGGACTCACAAACTCAGATAAAGCTTGCGTTTGAGTCTGAGTCCGAGTGAGTAATATTTTCATCAGTCTAAGTTCGAGTAACTTCGTTCGAAGAAAATTTTTGTGAGTGCGAGTCCAAGTCTGAGCGAGTCCAAGGTGCAAGAGACACTTCTTGAATAAGTCTGAGTGAGCTCTACTTTTTTTTTTGCTGACATACGCTTAGCATTTCTGAAAATTGCACAGACAGCACAATCTGATCTCATATCAGTGTTGCTGAGAACAGTTAAGCTCATAAAAGCCTTTCCTATCTGCCGCCTCTAGAGAGATTAGTGTACCACTCCCACTACAACGATTCTCTCTATGCCACGTGCTAGTTTTTCCAAGTGCTAGCCATCCCATACTTCACACGCATCTGTGCTGCAATTTTGTACAAGTTCAGCCATTGTTCAGTAAGCAAATGTCTCGATTTCAGCTCATTCCGTTGCTCACAAGTTGGCTGTTGAATGATGACACATCGCTTCTGGCCAAGCATGTGAACGGAAACAAAAAAAAAGAAGAAGACTGTGCACAAGATAATGCCTCAGGAGTGGCTTACATAGGAACCAATTATCTGGCTGGCAGGCTTCGTTGGCAGTGGTAAAGATGCAGCAAGTACAGAGCAGTAAAGCGCTTTAAAACTGTGGCATGCAATAAACTTTGATAAAACATCTGTGACAAAATTCTAATGCCATAGCTGTAATGCTTAAGAGGACCTATTGTTCTTAATCCCACAATATCACGATAGACACACAAGCAGCCTTTCAGTCCCATTAGAGAGACGCTAAGGAAGAAAAAGAGATGAGCTACATGAGCAGGCTTAACCTCCGTAATGGCATAACCAGGCATGCTTATCCCAAGTGGATGTTTGGCAAGTCGAGAAAGAAGAAAAAAAAAAAAGAAAGAAGAATGACAATGCCACTTTCGGTAATTTGTTAGTCTACTTAGTTGTACAAGTAACTGCATAAAACCACAAATTGCGCAAGTGCCTACTTAAGAATCGCCATTTGTCATGCCAAAGAAAATATATACTGTAACCTAAGGTTGTTTTTTTCAAACTTTAAAACGTTTAAGTAACGTCACACTAAAAAATTGTAATGAGGTCAGCAGTATAGCGCTCTCGTGAACAGCTTCGGAGCTTAAGCATAAAATTAAAGAAAATACTCGCATTTGTTTTTCAATTTACAAACAAAACATCTCATTAAAAAAACTACAATAGGTTCTGGAAATGCCCTTAAAGTTTAAATCGACCTACTTATTTTTATTAGCATCGTTTATATGGGAATCAATAAATGCAACTGCACACTGTCTCTGCACACCACTTCCGCATTTCCTCACAGCAGAATAAATGCTAGCTGCCTAAGCTAGCTCCATTTTGGCACATTTGCCCTATTCGGTACTAGATGAACCAAAACGAAAAAAGCGCACAAGTTAAAAATATTAAAAACTTGGCGCTGTGACTTAAAAGTAGTCTCTATGCTGTGAATAAATTTATATACGCCTAAAACACGACTGCGTGCTCTATGTCTCGTTGCACTCTAAGTGCATGGGTGAGTAAATGTGCACCGTTGCAGTCACTGAAATGTATTGCACAACTAAAAATGAACAGGCCGGTCGGCACTGTTTGTGATGTTGCAAGAGACAAACTACACATGCATAAGATATCTAGACGCTGTCACATCCTGCTGCCTCCTTCTTGAAATCCACTGATGTGTGGTTGTGAAAATATCACATAAAACTACTTCACTGCAAAAAAATTGGTGACCATTTACTAATAGTGCAGCTGCATATCTTTCTTGTGACATATCTGTATAATAAAATTAGTCAAGTAGAATAAAATACACTTGCAAGGAAACATACAGTCATTACAAGTGACTTGTCTATACTAGGCCACAGTTTGTCGCTACAGTCCATTACAATCAACAAGTAAAATGCAATCATAAATACACCGCAAATATGAGTGCTTTCCATATGCGCTTCGTGAAAGAGTAAAAAGAAATGGCAGATGAACTCTCAAACCCATCAGCAAAAATTTGCTGATGGGTTTCCCAGCAAAATGTTACATTGTATGCTTTGTTACCTGAATGTCGCATGCTAAGGTAGTCACACTTCACTCAATTTCTATCTTACTCTGACACCAACAAACACAACACAATATTGCATAACTTTGCCCACCAAGGTGCTAGGGCAGGCTTGGCAGCCCGCTAGAGTTCATCACGGGACTGTGAGGAGACGTTGGTGTGATCGGCGTAGCGCATGACGAGGCGATAAAAGTTGACGAGCCGCTCATAGTTTGGCCGCGAAATACGTTCATTATCACCGTGGAAACGCCGAGAGGCTTCTTGCGGTGTGAGAAGTGCTGGTGAGAACCGGTACACATTGCGGGTGAGGTCCAGGTAGTGCCGTGTGTCTGTGTTGCCTATCGACAAGGCTGCATAGAACAAGTAAGATGCGCATGAGGTCATCAAATTGACTTGGGCACGGGTGAGAATTGACTGGTGCAATCAAGTGTGCATGATAACGGAAGTTAAAAACAAACAGAACACATCTCTGTGCTAGACATATCTCGAGTGCTCATCACCTTAATTATTATACGGAGGCATCTGGCTTAACTGTTCAGCCACTATATCACAGTACAAAAGCTAAACATGATGTATAAAGTACAGCACTTTGATATATTAGCAATCATGATTATCACAGTATTTGCTGGAAGTGTCTCACTAAAGTAACACGGCCGGTTTGAATACTGGCTCCAGACATCTATCAGCGTTGAAATATGAACGTTCAAAAAACAACCCTCACATGGTCGTTGTACTAAGGCCATACACGTGTTGTATTAGCAAACAACACAACACAGCTGTGTTGACAAATGCACGGCATCTTCTTTGTGTGCGGCTGCTTTAGGCAGAGTGAAGTCTGTAAACAAGGAGAGTGAGGATATCTCGCGATTGTCAGTGATAAGCAATCTAAAACCAGGGTCAATAAAGATGGAAATCAAGTTTCGCCCTTTCTGCAAGGAAGGCCCGATGAAGATCAAAATCAAATTACACACGCTTCCATTAGGATCAGGCAGAGAAACTGGAACCATGAAACGACACTGCCTATGTACTTTGGTGTAAAACAACACACTGGAGCTAGAAATCAATTCTGTTTATTTTTACAAGAAGCCGGCTAAACCCAGTTTCAAGTGCTTCTAATAGCTCCTAAAAGATGGCACCATCTCATTGAGAATCCATTGTCATTTTGGCAGGAAAGTTCAAATGGAGGTTCGAAAAGGTACCAGAATGGCAAAAACCCTTAAGGACATAAAACTGCCACTATACATGCATGGCAACAACCCTTAGAGGCTTAAATACCGTATTTACTCATGTAATCTTCACACTTGCATAATTCTTGCACCCCCCCCCTCGAACCGCCCAACAAAAATAAGATTTTTTTTTTTCGTGAGTAATTATCGCACCCCCAGAAATCGCCACAATAATTTGGTCTGCCTGTTCTAGCCGCTGATGATAGCGCACGCCATCTGGCGCTGTTAAGCATCAAGCATACTATTATTGCACAAAGATTTAATCCAGTCTAAGTCAAGCCAAAGTGCCTAGTGCACGCTGCATTGTGTTTTGTATGTTGTGTCCGTAATGTTGTTACATAATGGGGCGATATGGAAGCTACACGGTTGTTTTCAAGTTGAAAGTGATTGATTATGCACTAAATAATGGTAACAGAGCTGCCGGTTGGCCTTCGGAGTCAACGAGTTTTGTTTTGTATTCGCTACCGGTGACGGCAGCTGAAAGCCATCAATACTCCTCGGGCGATACATGTGCCTTAGACTGGGATAGATAGTAAACTTTATTTCGTCAGAAGGCAACTGCAGATGACTCTGTTTTAAATGGCTACTAGCCCAATACTGATGTCATACGTTAACCTTTTGCCGGTTCCTGTTGAGTGACGAACACTAACGCTACACCCGCAACACCCACAATCTAATTCTTGACTATTTGCTTGCGCCCTTTGTGTCCCAAATAAATCTTGTTTTGTGTTGAACTTGTGCTTTTATAGTTGATATAAGTCTTAATTAATACTTCTGAAAGATTGCAGTTACTTGCTGGCATGATAATCCCGATTCATGGCCACTTCGTTTTCTTTTTACTCTGTAGGTTTTCGTGGAAAGTTTTCCCTGCATAATTTTCACACCACCACTTTGCATCAGTTTTCTGACAAAAAAGTGTGAGGATTATGCGAGTAAATACGGTAGTACCAAAATGCGACCGACTCCCACACACTCTTGTGCACCAAGAACACTGTGCAGCCAATATGGAATCTCAACAATAGTGCAACTCTTTCTTTCATTCGTGTTTTCATCTCTCCAGCTGCAGAAAGCCCATCATCCTTTTGCATCACTACAGAGGTGGGGAGCCCTTTGGAATGAGGCAGTCCTTTGAAACTTCCTAAGGTGCCTTTCACCATAACTGCGACCTGCATTCCCTTGGCAATTTATAATGGCTCTCGACAGACTGGTTCTGTTAACAGACTGCTCGACAGACTGGTTCTGCTAAGCCCCACAGAGATATCTGCACCGTAACTCGATGTACGCCTTTTATTTATATAAAAAACAAAACCAACAGTCTACTCTCAGCCTTCGAGCTATCAAGGTGCATACTTCTGACGTCCTGCCAAACCGAAGTTTCGGCATGTCAATAATCTGCAAGCTGTATTTCTGAACTTCTTTTTTTTTTTTCAATCCCATTTTTTTTAAAGCAAGATGTGACAATGTTTGTGCAGACAAGTCGCCGACCGTTTATTCGGACTCGGCAAGAACCAACAACACTCATCAATGCATGTCTGCACACAAGCGCAGCCACAAGCAACCAAATTGGCACCTACTTTAGCCAGCGTTTGGCCATCGCTGTAGGTTGCCAATATCACTGTTACAACCTGCGCTAAATCTACATTTGATAAGAGTGGTGCAGTCAGCACTTCATCTAAGCTGCAGTCCACCTGCGCTGGTTGAAGGTCCTGACAGACTATCACTGTGCACCTTGCGATAAAATCCCGAGCAACATCGGACTGCAGTTCGCTGCTTTTGATCCAGAAAATAATCATGACTTTTTAGCGCAAAAGCTCCTTAATGACAAAACTTTTCCTTTGTTGGTGTGCACCGTAGCCGCGATGATGATGGCGCCGATGACAATGATGATCACAGGCAAAAACTGGCTAGTGCAGCATATGACATCTTGAAATGCTCTACGATACATTTTGTATGACTGGAAACAACCAAAAACCACCAGGGAAACATGCACAGACCTCGTATTTGTCTACTTCAGGCTAGATTCATTACGAAAAACCAATAATAATGAAGGCCAAACGAAATTCACAACTCAACACAACATACCAGTTAAGACAAATGTACACCACTTTGTCCCTCATTTACAAGTGTGAGTGGTCAATATGACAAGTAATTGATGGTAACACTGTACGATTCCACTGTTTCCCCCCTAATAATCATTCAACTAAACAAACTACTTTTGAAAATTTGTCAGTAAGTACCTCTTCAACTGCGCGCTTGCATCGGTAACCACAATGCTATATTTACAGGTATCATAAAAAGGTGAAGGAACAAAAACGTCATTAAATATGTCACCAGTTCAGATACTGCAATGCAACTACAAAATTTTTAGCCATAGGTTAGAGTACAGTGATGCAGGACTGGGGTGATCCAGCGCTGCGTCAGTCAGGCCTTTGGTCACATCATTTGCTCTGCAGCGCGCATTTTTAATAAGCAAATGACAATAATGCTAACGTAAAAATATGCCAAAATCATCATATTCTCCTTAATATGTCAGTGGTACACAACATATGTGAAATCATGGAGGTATGAGTCCACTTTTTTTTTGTGCTTAAATATCCTACGAAACCACGATACAGCAAACTTGGCCGTAACAACAGAAGGTATCTATGTGTATTGTTAATATGAGATTACTTCTTTTTATTCCTACAGTACACTAATCATAAGAAAAAGAAGAATATGCTGCGTTTTTTTTTTTTTTTTTATCATGTATTCCCAAAGTGCCCTGCAGTTTTCGCGTTTTATCACTACTAGCCCCGGCACAAATAAAACACATGGCATCAAAGCTATTTCAGCAGATTGGCACGCCAAGCAAGAAAGAGAGCGGGCACAAGTAAGGTCTAGCTGCATAAACAGCTGACTATGCAAACACTTGGACGCCAAAATGGAACGACATCTGAACAGTAGACTATCAGCAAACAGAAACCTGTCAAACGGAACAATTGCCTCCAGCACGATTGATTTCATACTTGGATTCCCTGCCCTTGTTCATCTCTCAGTAAACTGAACTCCTGATAAAAGAAAACATTTTCCTGGTCCCTTCAGGTTCCGTTAAACGAGAGTCTACCATAGCTCGTGCTGCAGTGCCTGCAGTTTAGCTCTTTTTTTGTCTATTTGTCGTGCGTTTAATGTCCATTTCATGCTACACCAAGCAGACTCTGAGCGTGGCTTGGCTTGGCTAGCTGTATGATCGTGGTAGCCACTCAATGAATAGGTAATCGGCTAGATCAAGTCAAAAGGTCACCATACTTGGAGCCAGAACACAGCCTACAAGATCAGCAATTATAATTTCTGCCTTACTTCCAGGGCTGGCAATCTAGCAAAAATATTGTAATCATCACGGACAGCTGGTCGTGCCATTTGACGTAGCACTCGATCAGCCTGCCGGAATCCAAGGAATCGAACAGCACACTTTGGGGCAACCGAATTTGCAATCTTGAATCTACATTACTTCGACGGGACCAGTGGCAGTGCCTCGAAGGTGCCCGAAGTAACAATCATGTCCAAACTTTCGACGTCTGAATAAACGGTAGGCGACTATATCGTGATTTCAGGCATGTGACATTAAAGCAGAGCTCTGGGCACCAATGTATAACTTTGCGTGGCCAGCAATGATAGCAGTGTCAAATGGAGGGAGCGACTGAGCACTTGTCTGCCCGCACATACCAATATAAACCAATATAAACACAATGGTGGTTGGCCCATATTTCTGCCATGGGTTACATGCTGTCACAATGCAGGACACTCTAGTTGTTGCTTTCATGGGGTACCATAATCAGCGGGCTCACTGTACCCAGCACTTCATAGAAGCCACTGCTATTAGAGCACTTACTACCCTTGTACTGCGTAGCCCTGTACTCACTACAACTCAAAACATTTTGGGGAACAGGAGGAGCCATACTCTATTAAATCCTCCAGAGGTGGTGTGCCAGCAAAAGAAAACACAAAGCACAATTTCCCCACAACGAAAATAGCAATGCACGCGATAGCGACCAATAGTAATGTTATATATGATGTAAGGCTAGCTAACTCATTTTGGATCTGATTTCACGCTACTCTTGAAAACACAAGTGTAAAGGAATACAGGGACTCCAGAGAGCGAAGTGGTTTTCATGGTGTCCGTCATCTCAACGCAACATAAGCAGTGAGATCACAGTACGTACAAGGCTATACGAGCTGTACGCTGACGTCTGTTAACATCGCACACCTACATGCACTTGCAACCATTCCGGTTTGGTGAAAGTTAGCACTTACTCCTTCAGTAATGCAGCTCCCCCCCTCCACACTGAACTTCATGCTCCTTTAAACCACAAAAGAAAAATCAAAAGACACAAAAGGACACCAAAAGAGTTTGTTCCTAGCGCTTGCGTGCTTTTACTTGTGCGCGGAGTGTATGATGCACAGGGCAACTTCATTGGTTCGAACTTTACACGAAACATGATGACAATAGTGAAAACCCGCCACTAGTGTCAATATAGTTGCCATCCCAATAACAGCCGTAACAATGGACCGATCAGTCGGCCATCAGGTGAAAAGGAGGTTCACTTACCGGGAACGGGAATAGCCTCAGGGAAGATCTTGCGCACGCTGCAGGCAATGGCACGATAACCCAGGACGTCCTGACTGTGTGGTGACACCGGGTGCGCCTCCATGGCGTAGAGAACCTCCATCGACACGTTCGGAAGTCCACTTAGCAGCTGCTGATCAATCGCTAGAACCTAGTCGTGCATGTAATATCTCTCGTGAGGCGCCAACACATTGCAGCAAAACCTAGCATTTCCCTTCCTCATTACACTATAATTAGGGCTCCTCGTTTTCATATTAATCTGAAAAAATCTAATAAAGACCCGCCGGTAAAATTTTTGAAAATTCAGATTTACGAACCCCAATTTTAAAAACAGACTTTTCAACAGTCAAAGCATATTGTTGAAGCTGAGGCTGATTAATTGAATAGAGCAAACATTTATCAGTGGCAACAAGTTCGTGTAGAGTATATTTGCATCTATTGAAAGGAGCTTTAAGATTGTTACACTAACATAATTGTATTTAAGTGTTTCTGTTCATATGCATATGTGTCTGTGTGTTCACACCTTTGAAACAACTAAAATGCATTAAATGTGTTTACATGTTTGTGTGCTAAGTTATGATGTCATCCAAGATATAACAGTATTCAGAATAACGATAATATCAAGTCATTTATTTTTCACCAAGAAGATAAAAAGCTTGCCAAGCTCCTGCACCCCAAAGTACACTTTGTTGATTTCACAGCAGGGCAATGCAGTTTTACATCAGTGCAGTGCAGCCTTATCAACAAGATAAGTGAAGCACAAATGAAAGAAATGGAAGAATAGAAAAACAGGATTGTCAGCAACACTGCTAAGCATCATAAATAAGAGCACGTCGAACAACTAATAATAAACAAATATACAGTGAATTTGGGAGGATCGCCTATAGACATGAAATTAGCACGGATAAATGCCAAACTTTCTCTCAAGTAAGAACACCGAAAAACACCCCCTGAATTGAAAAAATTAAATAACATATAGCCCTAATTATTATGAACCGACATACGACATATGACACTTCAATATGCATCACTATACTTTATGTTCATAATAAACATGTACTAAGTGGGTGCAGATCCCTCTTCTCAAAGAGTTTACTCGGCCATACAAATTTTGCTGCACACAGAAATGGCTGTGCATAAGTGTGAAGCTTAGTAAACACTCATCAGATGTTTTATCTTGAGAATAATGTATTGTCAGATGGTGGACCTTTCGACATATGGCGCACCTTTAGACAAGCAACAGGGCCCATTCTGGCTACTTCACGTACGAGTATGACTAGTTGTGATAAAGTCAGGCGCCAGAACAGTCAGAATGACCAGTTGTGGGCCACTAAAAACATTAAAAATACTGGCTCTTTCCTCACCAACAAACCCTATAGCAGAGTGGCCTTAGAAACGTCATAACATCTTGCTCACATACGTAAACAGAAGCCTATACCGCATTGTGTTGCAAGCGCACAGGAGGAATGAAAACCATGTTGTATATCCACAGTGTAATTATCGTATTTATTCACATCTAGGCCGATATTCTTTTCTTTTTTTTTTTTCAAATTTCTTTGCATCAATATTCAGGGTCGGCTTAGATTCCAGGATTTCGAAAAATGTGTCATTTTTCATTGAGAAAAGTGGTGCACAACTAGTGCCACCTAGATGGTATTATAGCCATTAGTAGCCAAGCAAACAGCTGGCTTAAGTACACACTTAAGCTCCCATTTCGATCTTTGTGGCGAATGTTGAGGCGAGCCATTTGTCATTTGGAGTCGTGCTTTGAATGGTCTGTGGTTAATATAGCTCAATGGAATCAAATAGGCGGTGTCATTATAGCGCTGCTTATAGAAAGAAATCTAAGTTGTCCTAGGTGCGGAGTCGTCGCCTAACGTTGGAGATGGGTGGGACTTCGAAGTAGACGAAAAAAAATTTATGTGCCGAATAGCTGCAGCGTGGTATGACAACCCAAGAACTTCGATCGTGCGCTTTTTAAGAAGTGTGGTATATCCGATGCGCTTAATGACACCGATGATTGCACACTATTTGAAGACGGCGACAAAGAAGTCAGTGATGAGGGAAGTATCAACTCGGAATGAGCACTGCACGGACAAGCGCGGCATCATTATGATGGAAATAACTACATTCAGTGCGAAAAAAAAAACGACAAGAAACACACACTACAGGACCAGCGGCTGTATGTTTCTCGAGCGAACAGACTGCTTTGTTTTTACATCTCATGTTCCATAACTGCTTTCTCTTTGTGAACGCTGTCTTCGCTATTTCGTTCTAGCCTACATTCGAGGTTAGTTGTTTTTTTGCCCCCCTTGAACTTCGGACTTAAGGCGGTCAGCTTGGAACTGGAATCGGCCTAAGTTTGAGTAAATACTGTACTTTTTCATGGTGCACACCCACATACCAATACATTTCTAGGCTCTTTCTGTTGATGGAAAGGAACTAAACGAACTACCACTGAAATTTCTTTAGTAAATACCTTTTTAAGTGTGTGCTGCAATCGGTAACCACGGTGCTATATTTACCGGTATCATAAAAAGGTTAAGGAACAAAAAGGTCATTAAAGATGTCACCAGTTCAGGTACTGCAATGCAATTACAAAATCTTTGGCCATAGGTTAGAGTACAGTGATGCAGGACTGGGGTGATCCAGTGCTGCGTCAGTCAGGCCTTTGGTCACATCCTTTGCTTTTTATAATAAGCAAAGAACAATAATGCTAATGTAAAAATATGCCAAATCATCATATTCTCCTCAAGATGTCAGTAATACACAACATATGTGAAATCATGGAGGTATGAGTCCACTTTTTTTTTTGTGGTTAAATATCCTACGAAACCACGATACAGCAAACTTGCTCGTAACAACAGAAGGTATCTATGTGTTTTGTTAATATGAAATTACTTCTTTGGATTCCTACAGTACACTAATCATAAGAAAAAAAGGTAAATTTGTTGATTGAGTTGTTGCTACAGCACAACAAGCACGCCTGTTAGCCATCAGATACGTTGGTACCACTAAATACGGTAAATAAATTCTGTGGAAGCGTGCAAAATGAAAGAAGATTTGTTGAATTGGGATGATTTTGTCAAGTAAAAAGCTTCCTTTCTATGACTGAAATCCGGAAATTTTTTTTTATTAGAAGAGTGTTCCTAGTTCAATTAAATTGAGTTTTTTATAGATTCTACCTTAATGAGAAAAATATATATAAATTTCATTCACAGCTTCTTGCTAATAGGAGAGTGGATGATGATTCTGTCCTATCACATCTGTGCAGCTGAATGGAACACCGCTACCTATAATTTCTGCATTAGTACTATAATGCTAAAGCAGGCAGGTAAATGCTCTCACCTCAGCCACCGTCTGGGACGGATGCACTCGGTGGTTGATGTAGGCATACGCTTCCGCTGGAACCACGTTGTCCTGCGGAGACAGAAGAGAACTACAGAAACACGCTTCAAGCACTCAAGTAATGAAAATTTAGCCGATGAACTGTTGTGCGTGACTAGGAGGATTTACTCACAGACTGCGTATACTCTGTTTGAAGATAGCAGGTGTTGTACCTCAAAAACCTTCTAGTATCCTCATTTAGCTACTCCTAACTAACTTCGAAACTGAAAGCACGTTCTCAAGTTTTTTTTTTCAAGGGTAACAAAAGCCTTTCTTTAGTTTTTCTGATAAAAGAAACGTGTGAATAGTTAAACGGAATCTCATAGTTTTATGTAGCTCAAAAAAACATTTATTTGAATATACTTTGTCGAATAAGGGAAGGAAAGTGTAGAATATAAGTGGGCTATTGTCTAAAGCTTTTCTTGCATTCAGATGCCATTAGGCACATCAGTGGACAAAACCGGATGTCATCAAAGATCCGTGTTTGTAAACAGTGAAGGGGTCTATATATATTTCTGACATCTCAAAGAAAAAAAAAAAGGCTTAACCATAGCATTTGTTCATGCCAGAACATGAGCCAGTTACATGTACTCACAATTATGTTCTACGTTTTACGGCTTTCTAATATTCTTGCAAGGCCTCGTGGCACTCGAGTCATAATTTTTTGCAAATAACGGAAGTGCAACAATAAGGCAGGCAGCTCACTCACGAGTCACATCCTTAAACAAAAAATTATTCACTTGATGTCATTCCTACTCACAGTAATAAAGTACGGGGCAGAAAACTGGGGTATAGCAAATATTTGACGATGATGAACAATAGCAGAACTAAGCAATGCAACAATATGCCGAGAGAAAATAATGCTTACGCGCATTGAATAGAAAAGCACAGCACGTCAGGTGGCATTCACATGCAAAAAGCTACCTGGAAAAAAAAAAAAAGCAATGTACAGGCACAAGCTTTAGAATGCCTCAATGACAACACTCATAATTTGGGATATGTCGCCAGTGTGCATTGTTGGTTGCTTGCCAACATATTTAGGAAGTAAAACTAGCAAATTACAGTTAATTGAGCTGAGTAAAGTTGCCAAGTTTCAAAGAATGAACCTGGGTTAAGTCAAGGATAAGAAAGGGAAAGAAGACAACCTTACGTTCGTAGTACAAAGCCACAAGAAAATCCATATGAATTTCTCAGAAAGAAAAGCCTCTTAGTTGCCAAAACATTTCTCTTGGTCTAAAATTTTCCAGCAACCAAGAAGCTTTTCTTTCTGAGAAATCAAAACTTTCCTTGTGGCTTCGTGCTACGAACGAGCGGTTGTCTTCTTTCCGTTTCTCATCCCTTCCGCCACCTTGCAGGTTTCCACAGAACTAATTTTTAAGTCAAAGAACCCAGGGCACCTCAAAAGCACTAGCGGTATTGCCCAAAGTGTAATTTTTTTTGTTGAAATAGTGAATTTTTGTCTGTCTGTGCACCAACACAATCTTTGATGTATCAGTAATAGAGGGTGGTGATTAACCTACAGAAATGAACAATACTGATTATTGTGAAGGACCCTGTTAAAGCTCGGCTAAATGCACTGCAGTCTAAGTTCTTTTCCAATAAAAAAACTATGCAAATCATGTGCATGCAGGGTACATATTTAATTTATCAGCGGTCACAGCCTGATGGTAGCCAAAAATACAGACAAACCAGATTGCAGGTGCAATCATCATTCACCGAATGAAGGTGGCAGGCAGGTTGCATATGTTAAGCTTCATTTTTCACTCATGAGAACAACACCATTGGTTTTTGTGTTCATTAGATAATTCCAACTCTAAATTATTTAAACATTTAGATGCTAACTGTCTAAACTTTCGGCCATCAACACCATAGGCAACAATGCTGACTTTTACACTAGAGCAACTTTCACATCTATCCGAATGAATGCACTTACTACACACACAAAATAAAGTACAAATGATTATTTTGTGCATGTTCACAACCCTCAGTGTTTACTACAGTAGACTCCTTTTAAGAACTCGAAGAGAGACTAACTGTTTGGCTTATCAGAAGTTTGTCCTATCAGAAGCACCCACAAAGAAGAATTGGCACCATGCCGAGGTGCATGTAAATGTGTTAGTTCAAAAATGAATCAATACGCTTACAATGAAGAAAAAAGACAAATTTAATTTATTTGAGAAAGTAATTGATAGGCAACTGGGCTCAGGTGCTCTAGGCTAGCTTAATATGGTCCATATTAGATGTAGCTCTTGTACACATTGGCGAGCAGCCACAAATGATGCCATTTAACCTGATAATCTCAAAAATACTTCAGTTCATTTAGGCTGCTAAAGATAGTTCCTTAATAAAAACCTTATGTAAGCATCTGCTGCACTAATTATCACTGGCACAGGCTGACATTGTAGGCTTGTGCGAATATTCGAGTGCTTTGAATATTTTAACGAATATTTCGCTTTGATTTGAATTTAAACTATTAAAAATTTTGAAGTATTCGCATTCAGTGAATAGATGTATATTAGTTCGCATGTACAGTGGAACCCCGATTCTACAACCTTTAGGGGACCACGCAAAACCATCGTATAACTCGGGTGTTGTATAATTGAAAAACTAAGAATATAGACCTCGACACTCCGATTTGCCCGAAAGACGGGTACAGACTGCCTGAACAAGCCCACGGCACGACCTTCTGCCTCTGCAATGAGGGTAGATTAAGTTATTGTTGCCAGTGATAGCTAATGACAGCAATAATCACTTGAAGGAGGTTCGAGCGAATCTTCATTCTCCGCCTTAAAAAAAATCAAATCCAACGCGCATCTTTCTATCGATAAATAGGGTCCGAAAATTGCCTGCGCGTGAAAACGAAACCGAAATTGTGGTGCTGTGAGTTTCTCATCAGAAGAGTGAGACGCAGTGTCATCGCTATCGCATTATGGCGATGGACAATGAGTTTATGTACGATGCATTCGTGCGCGACTGAGCTGTATGCGTTGTAATTTGTTGCCTTGTGAAGCACAACTACCTAGTGGTGCCCTGCTGTTTTTATGAGCGTTGACATCAAGTGAAAGTACAGTAGACTCCCAGTGAATGAAAATCTGTTAAACAGAACTGCCGCTTAAATGGAACAACTTCCTCTGATATGATTGGTTTCATACTTGAATGCTGCAATCCACTTCACCTCTCAGTAAACAGAACTCCTGTTAAAATGGAACACATTTTCCCGGTCCCTTCAGGTTTCGTTTAATGAGAGTCGACTGTAACTTTGCACGGCAAAAGCAGGTGCTCGTGCCCTCATGCGTGCGCAAACCAAAAACTGCGAGTGTGACACAGCCAGGAGATCGGACGTAAGTCGACCAGGAAATGTTTGCGCGGACTGAAAATGTGAAAATATCAGCTTTTTGGTCAGCTAAACCTATTCTATGTTGATAGAGCTTGACTAGGTAATGACCCTGGATACGTATGCATGTGATTAAGGTGTATGTAGAAGTGCATGAACTTCTGGGAGAATAAATTTTTCATTCGATGAAGATGACTACTTTTCTTGTAATCCTCTTTGGGGCGCGAAGTTCATATTTTGCCCTCGTGAATATTTGGGTGACATGTGATTCGAGTAAAGACGGTTTTTCTTTCCAACAAAATCTGAAAGTCGTTCTAAGATGCAGGGTCGGCGTAAAACTGCATCGTATAACGAAGGTTTTTAATACATTGTTTTTCTAGGGATTTTGCTGGGACCAAACTGATTCATTGCAAAATGCAGGTTGTCGCGAAACCGGGGAACGTAGTATCAAAGTTTTACTGTAAATGCTTGTAAAGGTGGCTTAACTGCATGGCAGAAGTGCTAAAGCGTGAAAACAATGTTCCTGGGGAAATACCCTCTGCCGCGAAGGCTTCCTTCAAGTTTGAAGGGGCCCCGCAACACTTACGGAGCACGGGCAGAAAACGCTGCCGATGAGTGCTTGTGGCTGCCGAGAAAACACGAGCCAAATATCATAGTGCAGCACGCGGCCTACGATTCGCAATAACTTCTCTAAGTCATACAAAAATTGCTTTCTTCGGAAATGACCCCACAAGCTCAAAAATCACTCATTACAGCTGTTGTATCAGCCATTGGGTGATTTGAGCATGGCACGCTCAGTCTTTTCTGGAGACGTCGCGGGAAGCCGCCACTAGTCCACGCGTACGTGTAGATCGCCCTGAAAAGCCGATTATTCGAAGAAAAGAAAAAAAAGTTTAAAAAGCGCACTAAGAAAGAGGCACGCATGATGTTCTTTTTTTTCCCACACCGTGTCTCTCTACCAGCGCTTTCGTCGAGACAAGAAGAAAGAATGCAATAGCAGCGTGCGACAAATCTTTGCAACTCTCCTTGTACGTTCTAGACAGATTCTAACCATTTTTGCGGCAAATTCATGAGGCAATAAGCTTTTTTAGTGAATCCATTCCACGACTACTTGAAAAAGTATTGCAGGACCCCTTGAAATGAACACATTACTCTCAAATCGATTCATTTTTTTTAAAGCTTAAAAGCTAGTAGCGATGGCTTATATGCTCTAAGTATAATAAATTTTAAATGTTACGTATTTTACATGTTACTATCATACACATCCTACCAAAAGTAAAATCTTGCTACTACAAACAGTTCTTTCGATTTTTTTTGAACGAGAAAAAAAAAGCATTTGCATAGAGGGCTGGTTTAAATTTTGTAAGAATTGAAATAAAACTGCCAAAATTGTGCAGGTTAGTAGGGTCATAATAAATATGCCCATTTTTCTTTATATGTCCATTATACTCTTCGAATTCGATTCAAAATTATTCAATCAATATCACTATTCCTTTCGAACTTGCTTCGATCCTAAAATTCCCTATTTACACAAGCCTAGTTTTAGCATGCTTGAAACAGTGCAGTGATTTTGATTGACCAATGACTAGCAGATTCAGTTTACCGACATATTCACACTAACAAGTATAGTGACTCTCACTCCACTATGCTTGCCACATGTGCAGGCGACACCAGCTTTTGTGGAAGCAGTATATGTTGCCTGGGAGAATATGTTTTAGGTTAGTCAGTCTCTTATTGCTGCAAGTTGTTTTGTCTAGGACAGCAGCCTCAGCAATGACAGATTGAAAAATGGGTTAATGCCTTAGTTGAAAACAGTGGACATTGCATGCGCTAGAGGAAGAGAAGAGTGAGGAATGGCACGTGGCATGCGAGGTTGTTTTCTGCCCTGCAATAAACAGCAGTGTCGGGATTCATCTCCAGGTGTACAGTAAAATCTCGGTAGAACGAACACCACTTTAATGAACTTTTCAGATTAACAAACGTTTGAAAAATCCTCCACCGACTGCTAATAGTTGCAATGTAAAGTTATTTCACTACTACCTATTTCAGAATACCAAACTTTTAAAAATAACGAGTGCTAATTTATTTCTGCATTATACTAACAATGCCATTGAAATGCCGACGCTGCATGTTTACAAGCGCAGAGGCAAGGTCAGCGAAGCAGAGGCAGAGTGGGAGTTGCGAAGCAGGAAGCATGGGCGCAGAAAACCTGAGACAGCGAGGCAGCAGAAAACAAAAGGCGAGAAATTTCCTTTTTTAGCACTTTCTTTTCTTCAGAGCAGGCGATGATAGCCGCGACGCTTCAGGTTTTTCTTATCTTTGTCACTTCTACATGTGGTCTAGGAGGCTAAAGGGGTATAGGTGCTCTGAGGAGACCTTGTCGGTCATGTTCATCTTTTTGGTGATTACTTATAGCGCCCGCAAAGCAAGCCGGCGCTCGCGCTGCAGTGCTACTACGATGAGTTCATCTCTGCTAGCGACAAAAAAGTGGAAGCAGCTTTTGCTACGGAAAAAGTGTAGAATGTGGATGAGCTGGAGGCCTTTGCGTTGCAAAGTTTGTGCTGCACGCATCAAAAAAAAAAAGAAACATATACTTCTTAAAGGAAACGTGTATATATTGGTCCTCACTTGCGTATTTGTTTTTTATTATGAAAAACGAGTTCAAGGAACCACCCTTGTCAAGGTAAGCAATTTTGGTCGGCGGAAAATAAGTATTTATGGTTAATGTTTAGGGTTTCACTATAACGAACTTTCAAAGTAATGAACGAATTGCCGCAGACACCTGAAGTTCGTTATTCCGAGATTTTACTGTATTTGTCCTTCAAGTCCTGTTATCTACAATAGAAGTCTTCGGATTTTATGGTCCTTTTTCTGAAACTATCGAGCCAGCTTTCTCTGCAACAGAATTTTATGTCCATTTCTAGGTAAATTTCTTCACCTTTGCCTTCATAACTTGGCGGTAGTTGTTATCACTCATCAACCAGTCACTGCCATTACCGAAAGGCAGAACACCCTTCCCTGCACATGGTGAAGGCGGCGAGTTAAGCGTCACAGAGAACTTTTCAACAACAAAAAGCTATCACTTTTTGCATTTAGTGGCTTTTTGCATTTGAAGGCATTGTTTCAATTAGCCGGCGGTGGTCGTAGCTATGGAGAACGGCGTCGCAAAAGTTTTTCATGTGAAAACTGACCACAAGTCTTTATCTTCTCTCCTTTTTCTTTTTTCCCTCACTACCACTCTGCCGGTGAAGAAATGCCGGAAAGTGAGCGACCTCGCTCGCAGCATCAAATATCTGCTTGCGGTGCTCTCTGCAAGTAGCAAGTAAACTGCAGTTTGGCACGCGTGAGTGCACGCCTCTCAGATAATTTAGAATACATTTTTTAACCTTTTTTTCGGTTTGTATCTGCCATATTTTTACCTCAACAATGTCGGAAGTGTTGTGAGTGTTGTTGTTACATTTGGAGGCTTTGAAATGATTTGATTGATTGATATGTGGGGTTTAATGTCCCAAAACCACCATATGATTATAAGAGACACCGTGGTGGAGGACTCTAAAAATTCAGACCTCCTGGGGTTTTTTATCGTGCACCCAAATTTGAGCACACGGGCCTACAGCATTTTCGCCTCCTTTGAAAATGCAGTCACCACACTCGGGATTCTATCCTGCGGCTTGCGGTTCAGCAGCCGAGTACCTTAGCCACTAGACAAGAGGCTTTGAAAATGTTCGCTATATGTGGACACAGTTTTTATGGGTAGCATGGGAAAATCATAGGTGCACCAAAATATGGTCTTTATCACTAATAGGTTGTTACAGCTGGGATCGCTATAAGTGGGTTCGACTGTATTTACTCTGTACAACAGCATCACTTTGAAAATTTGGTTTGAAATCTACCTTGACACCGCCCATGATGCGAGTGACTGTGGTAGTGGTGCGAATCATGGGGTCCATCTGCTGGCTCTGAGACATGAACCTGCACATTAAATTGCTTTTTATTACCATCACTGTAATATGGTGTTCCCCAGAGAATATCTGCTTAACCACCATAGGCAAGCAATCCTGCTTTGGCACACCCTAAACAATACACATGCTAGACAGTGGCATACAAAAAATTAATCGGTTTCAGCAATGCTTCCAGCAAAGCAATGCGGCACTGTAAAGAACTTGACCGCGGTTTAGCTCAGAAACAATTATGGCCCCTTAAAAAGGCAAATGCACACCTCGTCCTTAAAGAATACGCTATTGCAATCACGGACCTCTGGATACACCACAGATTTGTACGAAGAGATGGTTGCTGCAGTGATATAGAAAGAAGAAAAGATACCGGCAAAAAATACACTCTTTTTCTTTTCATAGCTCTTCGGCACTTGTCCTTGGGCAAATTCGTGTTAGCCATTCGAGCATTTCATGATTCTGAAATACCATAGGCTGTTCCGCCAGGAAAAAATGTTTGCGCTCTGCTTTCGAAGCACTTGCAATGTTTTACAAAGAAAGTAACTCTAGTTAGTTGCACTATGCATCACATACCAGGTCCTATTTATTTACATTAGACTCTCAGTAAACGAATCCTGAAGGGGCCAGGAAAATATGTTCCATTTAACAGGAATTCCATTTAGAGACAGGTGAACGTGGGTTCAGAATGCAAGCCCAAAACGAAGCGTTGCCGAGGCAATAGTTCTGATTAAGCAGTAGTTCCATTAACAGATTTACGTTTACTGAGAGTCTACGATTAGGTCCAGTTTCTATAAAACAGTGTGCGGAAAGCCTAGTCCTGGACTTCCATAGTAATGTAACAAGTTTTATTGCTTTCACACCTCTGTCTGAAAGTACACGCAGCCAGACCTCATGATGAAGTTGCATTTTATACGAAAATACCTGCATTAGTATATGCAAGAAATCATAATAAATGAAAATTTTTATAATAGATCATTCGTAGGTGCAGGCGAATATTCTAGTGCTTCAAATATTCAAACAAATACAAGTCTGCAAATTCACTTCAATGTGAATTCAAATCGTTTGAAATTTCAAGGTTTTGAAAATGAACTGATCTGATAAACAGCATGTAGCCCCCCTGCAAGGGTCATTTCGCTGCACCATGAGAGTACTATGGTGCAAAATCACCTACACAGACGAAATCTGCAGAGGCGCAAAGCGACATGTTAAAGTAAATTCACAAATGCCTTCACCATAATAAATAAGTTATTTAAGTTATAAGCTTGCTATGTAGACACATATGCACTAAGTATACCGTAATTACTCGAATCTAACGCGCACCTTTTTTCCGGTTAAGCGAGTTCATAAATCGCATGCGCGTTAGAATCGAGTACGAACGAAAAAATTACGGTAAATCTATTGCCATCGGCAAATCCAAAATGGCCGCCTCCTACGTGCGTCGGCATGACGCGTTGGCCATTTCTGCCTATGTGCTTCTCATGTGCGGCACTTCGTACGTGTGCTGAGGAGTTCGTCATCTAGTAGTGCATTAGCATCGACGGCGTGTAAGGGCCGACTCCAAAAACTCGAGTGCACCACGATGCCGCTTTTAAAAGAAAAGTGATCACGTGTGCAGAAACGGACGGAAATCGGGCCGCATCGCGGTCGTTCGGAGTTCCCGAAACGTGCGTGCGGGACCGGCGGAAACAAAAGCAGAAGATTGTCGACAGCAAAGCTTCACGCAAAGGTTTTAGTGGACCACAGCAGGGTCGGTTTCCGCAAATTAAAGAGCTGCTCGGCGAGTATGTGCTTGAGCAGCGAGCGGCACAGCGGCCCGTGACGACAGAACTGCTCCAAGTGCGGGCTATGCAATTAGTCTTAGAAAAAGGTCTAATGCGGAGCCAGCTTTCAGCGAGCAGGTGCTGGCTAACTAGCTTTATGAAGAGGAAAGGCTTTTCCCTCCGAAGGGGAACGTGCATATGCGAAAAGTTTCCGGAGGAGTACGATGAAAAGCTTCACAGTTTTCAGAGGTTCGTCCTAAACTTGCGGCGCAACAACGGCTACCTGCTTGGGCAAATCAGGAATGCCGATCAGACGCCTCTTTACTTCGACATGCCTGGCACCACAACCGTCGAGAAGGGGGCGAAGCAAGTTCGCGTGCTTACATCGGTCCACGGTAAAATTACAGTGACGGCAATGCTCTGTTACACGTCAGATGGGCACAAGCTTCGCGCGTACATCAGATTTAAATGGAAGACGCTCCCGAAAGGAGTCGTTTTTTCGAGTGGTGTGATCGTGCGGGCCAGCGAGAAAAATGGGTGCGCGTTGCAATCGATGTCTTACTTTTTTTTTTTTTTTTTGCTGTGGAAATCGGGTGCGCGTTACAATCGAGGGCGCGGTAGAATCGAGTAAATACGGTACTCAATTTTAAAGCCTACTGCATTTCATTGCTAATAAAAACCAGCTTATACTGCTATTCAAACTTCACTACTACGATAGTACAAAGTTGCTTCCCCTTCATTTTGAAGCAAAAAAGTGATGTTAGCACACACCTTCCCCCATGCTTTCAAACTATAATGCAAGTTAGTTGGGTCATGAGAAAAATGCTAATTTTTCCACATAACATACGATATACACTACTCAAGCCATTCAATACAAAACTATTTGACCAAATGACTTATTTGCTTCAAGTCCTCTTAGAACATCAAATGTTATTCTTTACCCTTTCTATTAACTCGTTGAATAAGTATTCATGATGCAGACATTAACCTTCTACAATTTAATGGTAGCAGCAGTCGAGTCGTGCATCGTCTATTACAGAGGCACTGACTGTTCTCGTTCTGTTATAAAAGAGGCGGTACCCGTAAGTCGTGCCATTTCTAGGGCATGTTGGTAAACTGTAATCGAAAACATAGTGGGCACTAGAAGACCAGGATGCATGCAGGAGAGACAACACCTCAATGCGCTAACTACAACAACCTCATTTTCAGGAAACATGAACCTAGTTATCCATGCGCAGTGGCACCACACGAGTCCAATCACATGCCAATGAGAAAAGCTATATCCTTATCTAAAAGACCAACTGATGGGGCACTAACACACATGTCCTCATTGCAACAGATAGTTTGAACTTTATTAGTCTACTGCACGTCTTAATCTTTGTGCTTCAGTAGAACATTGCATGCATCATACAATGGTGTGCAACCACACTTCGAAGGTTGATGTCTTCTGAAAAATTAAATTGTTGAAGTTATCGCACTGTGGTGTCATTTGTCTTACCCCCTCGTATGAGTGCAATAAAGATCATTCATTCGTTCATTCATTCATAGCACTGAATATGTTTTTAAATGCTGGTTAGCCCCCTATGATGAGGTCAGTCAAGAGCTCACCAGCCAATGGCAGGTCCAAGGAGCCAGATGTTGGCCAGAGCTAGTCGGAAGTGGAACGGCACCTGCAAAGAACCAGCTGACCTCAAGAGCCATAGAGCAAAGCTGGGTTGCGCTACACACATTAAAAAAAAAAAGAATGCCGATGCTATTTAGATTGCCAATCGTAGAATGAAATATCTGTTTGTACTTCTTGTAGAGAAGAAAGTTTCGTTACAAGACATAAACTACGCACTTCGACTCCCTTGCAATCCAGCACAAGAAGCATGTGCTGATGTACAGTTGAACCTCGTTATCACAAACACCGGTGCGGCGAATTATCGGCGATAACAAACTAACTATGAACTTTGCCTGGTCATGCTTTATTTCAGAGACATTTATTCTTTTTTAGGATGAAATTGGCTGCAACATGTGGGAGAGCACATGTATTCATTTGTTCCTTTCCTTAACAACATTGCAATTACAGCCTGGCCACGTAAACAAACCGGTCTCTCAAATAGACACCGCAGCCCCTTTTCTGAGAACACCTTCAACACCGTAGTCAATTCATGCTACTTCCCACTTCCCTGCTCTAGAGAATGGGTACACTTCCCCAGCTAGGGAAACAGCCCTTACCGGAGGGGTCGGAACGGAAACGTGAGAAGTGAACGAAACAGCCGACCGGACAGCAAGACTGCCTCTCTTGCGCCAGCCGTCACCGTCACCTCAAGGAACCCCTCAGCCGGCAATCGACGAAAAGATTAGGTCTCACTATTTGCTTTCTACACAGAGCAGACTGTTCCTCTATGTGACTTTTATGCATTATTGCTTACATAGTAAGAAAGCATCCTTTGTTCATCTAGCCTGACACCTGATTCGCCTAAACCTGTCATAGCAGCAATTACTCATACTACCAGTAGGGGACGTCACTCATGCACTGTACGACTGTGTGTGGGAGATACCACAGCCAGGCTTTTGCACCAGCCATGCACCCGCCAAACAAAGCAATACTGTATTCACTTAATTGTAATGCACGCAACCACAACTGCATTGCGAGGGGTGATTGTTCATTATGTCTAGACAGAAGAAAAATAAAATATTCATGTTCATCATATCACTTTCTAGACGACTTCAATTTTCAGTATTCGATTGTAATGTGAGGGTTGACTTCAGGTCCCCTAAATCCAGGAAAACACTCAGGTTACATTCAAGCTAATACAGTATTTGGTTTGGAACTAGTTGAAAACTTGTAATGTAGCACTAAAGACAAAATAAACAAGAGAGAGAATTAATTATCACACTTCATTTAACTGAATGAGCAGACGTTTGAAATGTCGTAAGGAGACAGGTAAGAATTATGCCATTTGTAGTGCATACAAAGCCTAATAAAGTGCTTTTGTATCTAAAAATTTTTGCAAGCCTGATTGCTCACTTGCTAAAGTTGAAGCTCACCCTTTCGGTTACCACGAAAAGCATATAACAAACTACCGTAATTACTCGAATCTAACACGCACCTTTTTTCCGGTTAAGCGAGTTCATAAATCGCATGCGCGTTAGAATCGAGTACGAACAAAAAAATTACGGCCAATCTATTGCCATCGGCAAATCTAAAATAGCCGCCCCCTACGTGCGTCGGCACGGCGCATCGTCCATTTCTGCCTATGTGTTTCTCATGTGCGGCACTTCGTACGTGTGCTGAGGAGTTCGTCATCTAGTAGTGCATTAGCATCGACGGCGTGGAATGGCCGACTCCAAAAACTCGAGTGCACCACGATGCCGCTTTTAATAAAAGAAAAGTCATGGCGTGTGCAGAAACGGACGGAAATCGGGCCGCATCGCGGTCGTTCGGAGTTCCTGAAACGTGCGTGCGGGACCGGCGGAAACAAAAGCAGAAGATTTTCGACAGTAAAGCTTTACGCAAAGGCTTCAGTGGACCACAGCAGGGTCGGTTTCCGCAAATTAAAGAGCTGCTCGGCGAGTATGTGCTTTAGCAGCGAGCAGCACAGCGGCCCGTGACGGCAGAACTGCTCCAAGTGCGGGCTATGCAATTAGTCTTAGAAAAAGGTCTAATGCGGAGCCAGTTTAAAGCGAGCAGGTGCTGGCTAACTAACTTTATGAAGAGGAAAGGCTTTTCCCTCCGAAGGGGAACATGCATATTCGAAAAGTTTTGCGGAGGAGTACGATGAAAAGCTTCACAGTTTTCAGAGGTTCGTCCTAAACTTGCGGCGCAACAACGACTACCTGCTTGGGCAAATCGGGAATGCCGATCAGACGCCTCTTAACTTCGACATGCCTGGCACCACAACCGTCGAGAAGAAGGGGGAGAAGCAAGTTCGTGTGCCGACATCGGTCCACGGTAAAACTACAGTGACGGCAATGCTCTGTTACACGTCAGATGGGCAAAAGCTTCGCCCGTACCTCATATTTAAATGGAAGACGCTCCCGAAAAAAGTCGTTTTTTCGAGTGGTGTGATCATGCGGGCCAGCGAGAAAAAATGGGTGCGCGTTGCAATCGATGTCTTACGTTTTTTTTTTTTTTTTTCGCGGTGGAAATCGGGTGCGCGTTACAATCGAGGGCGCGGTAGAATCGAGTAAATACGGTAACTTGCGTTCCGATACTACTTTACTATGATGAGTTCGCACTGTCTTACATTTTCATAGCTGCTGCAATCGTTTCTACAATGATACATTAATGCCTCTCCCAGTGAGCTCACAATAACCGAAAGCGCGCAGAGAATGCAAATTCTCTCCGTAACGTGCAGAGTAACTTGCCATTATTGATGATGCTTTGTACAGCCAGACACCTATTCTGCTACTGTGGGAGGCTGCGAGTGATTGGCTCGATTTTGTTCATAATATTGCCCGCTAGTGCAGCCTTAATAATGAAACTAGACCACATATCAGTCCTGTTCATAGCTCGGCAATCAAAGGTGGAGCTCACTCAAACGACTCACTGATGAAGTATCTTTTGCACTTAGGACTTCCTCGAACTTAGACTCACCATTAATCATCTCAACCGAACTCACTTGAACTCAGACTCGTGAAAATTTTCCTCAACTGTACCCACTTAGACTTAGACTCGTCAAAACATTACTCACCCGGACTCACTCAGGCTCAGACTCACGGCCCGGTCCGAGTCTCAGTGAAGTGGCTGATCAGACAGTTAGCATAAAATTAGCTTCTTTAGTATTGCTATCAATGCTCTTCAACGCCAATACCTCCCATAATCGATGCCCCACAGTACACCGTTATATCTTGCTCCTGCAAATATCAGTTATCAATGGTTTCAATCTAGTAAGGACATTTTAATGAAATACGCGACTCGCAGGAGATATCTTAATCGAGGACTTCCCCTGAGAAAGTTTGCAGAGGAAGGTCGCGGCACTTCTCCACCCTCTTTCCCTTAACTCCAGCCTTGGATCAATAAATATGAGTATGATGCAGCGCATCGTTGACATATCTGTGAAAAGACTTGAATACAAACATAAGCCAAATTGACGGTGATAGTAATGCTGAAGACTAGTGAATAGGAGACTACTGTTACCTATACCATGCTGTAATCATATTGTCTCAGGTTGTTAACCTTTCACGGTTTATTTTGCAGTCACCTACACAGATCCTAAGTTCTTCTCTATCACCGTTTAACTTCCAGCTTCCCAAACTACTGCTGCAATGTTTCGCTTCAATATTTTCCTGTCCAATGACAATGACAATGCCTGTAGATTGCAGATCTCACCTTGGTGATATCAAAAAGCTCATAAGCATCATAGGAGTATGAAAAAGTCATAACATGAGTCTTGTACGTAACATGTGAAAACACGTAAACTTTACAAAAACTTCAGCACAGTTCAAAGCTACGGTAACAGTTACTTAATATTGTACTAGTACAGCACAAATTGCACCCATTCTCATAGTTAATTTCATACTTGAGATCTTATTATTTATTAATAAATGTTAAAATAACACAGGCTAAGAGATAAAAAAAAAGGGCCGCAGTCAGGGGAAGATGGCATGTTCTGATGAAAATTTGTAAAGCAAGGACGTGCTGGAGCACAAGTTTACACATTTTTCATCACTGGTTAAGACAGTGCCGGGTATTTGCTCGATTGTCCTTCCCTGTAATGTACGCCACTTCAGGTTCAGACTGCGTGTGACAGCTTCAAGCGACTTCTAAACGTTGGGAAGAACCCACCTCAGGAGCCAAAGCAGTCAGCATCTCGGCCACCACGGAACGACTAAGCTGGGCAGGCTGGCACTGGCCATGGAAGCTGCACAGCACAGGGGCGTCCATTGAAATGAAACTGATACAAGGACGGCTTAAAAGGCAACAAGGCTAGAACGACGGGAAGAACCACAACGAAATAGGAGAAAAGGCACATTATGAAGTACTAACAACTTGAAGGGTTACTAAATTGATTATGCAAACACGAGGCTAAAGTTGTTCGACAGTATCGTCATCCCAGATTTTTGTAGTGGTATGCAAGCATTGAGTATGTGGTAGGGCCCAAGTCCTCCGAACTTTCTTCTATTGTTAGGTGTGGAGGAAACATGCTACGACTATAGCACATAAAAAGATTTGCCGGCCTTTAGTCAATGTCGTGGAATATAATGACCATAATTGTCGAGTTTTCACGTCCTGAAGCCCCAATATGATTTTGGGAGACGCTGTAGTTGAGGCCAATCAAAAACTTCGACTGCCAGTAGATCTTTAATAGGCAAATAAACCCAAGCAAATGAGCCTCCAGCATTCCGTCTCCACCAAGATATGGTTGTACGGCCATACACCAATACAATTCGAGTTTCATAAGAAGGAATTGGGTTGCCAGCCTGTTGTAATTGTTGCCAGCCTCTTGCACACTCAAGAGAGTCTTACCAACATTCCTAATTGCTGCCTGTAAGCACCAACCCTGTCCCGAGTGCCTCGCCTTGCTACACTTTTCAGTAGCTAGGAGGGACTGGAGGCCGCTACTTTTGTAAAATGGGCAAACTATTTTTTGTGAATGCCCTACATATTAACTGTGTCATACTTTTTGCCAATTTGGTGTGTCATCGCACGAAGTGGGTCTACACTGGCAAACTATTACTACTTCCAAAGCCTCTATGTCTAACCTTCCCTGAAGTTAGTCGCAAGTTAATCATTCCATTCTGAGTTGAAATACGGGCAAGGCCCACACGTTTATTGCATATCATACTCACCCGGATAATGCCTTGGACAGTGCAACGATTGCATTGTTGACAGGCGGGGCTGCAGAGTGGCCACTGGTTCCATGCGCCGACACGCGAGCCATAATGGAGCCTTTCTCAGTCACTGCTATTCTGCACAAGGAGAAGCACGGGACAGTGCGGTTAGAAATATACAAAACTAAGGGCAGGCGTAGCACCTTTCCACACACTCAAATATTCAACAGAGCACAGTGATAATTAGTGATACAGTTTTTACAGGCAGTTCTAAATTCCTTATCACTAATCCTGGACAAGATTATGAAAAAAATACTGCTACAAATCTAGCCCATCATGAACTTCCAACAGTTCCTCTTGAAACGTATCTTTAAGTCAAAAGGTTCGAAATGCAAGAAAATAGCTTGAAATTCATGGCCTCAAACTGACATACTGGTGATAAAATAAAACTGCAAAAATGTTTTCATAGGGCCCGACATCCAAGTTTGTTCAATAAAACTCAACCTTACAAAATTATAATTATATTAAATTTTAGCAACACACTTTTCCAGCAAAGAATGACAAGAAACTCATGAATACTGATAATAATAACAGATAGCTCACGGTTAGGAGCATAATTAGTGTTACGAGCAGACTTAGTGTCTTCAGCAATCACGATATGAATGTTGGTATAAAAAAAGTCCAACTGGGAGCCTCACCTGTCTTTTCTTTGTATATTTATAATTGTAATGAAGCTTATAATAATAAAGAAGCTTATTATAATTGTAATTGGAATCAAAGCAGGAACACTTTTCTCTAAGTTTGTACATGTTCTGCGTAGTTGAGTACAAGAAAGCGTTATTTGATTGCTTTGTTTAAACTGCGCACTAGTGCTGCTTAATGGGCTGTGTTTATCTCTCTTTCCTCTCTCCTCTCTATCTTTCATCTCCCCCTCCCCCTCCCATGTGCAGGGTAGCAAACCAGCTGCTTATATACTGGTTAACCTCCCTGCCATTCTTTTCCTCCTACTTTCCTTCCGCCCTTCCTAAAGCAACATAACTACCAGTAGACTCACGGCGCGCATAGAATGTCTAGAAATGCTTGAAAAATACTTTAGCAAATTTTTTAGCTTTTTCGTGGATTTTTTAGCTATTTCTAACTACGTTTTTGCTGCAATATAGCTACTATATTTTTTTCTTCGACAATCGGCAACACTGGTTTGTGCATTCAAATATGCTTGTATTCATTAGTGTCGAATACTTCAAAATTTCAAGCAATACGATTCGTGTCGAGGCATATACGAGTACTCTATTATTAATTCAAATATTTGAAGCGCTCAAATATCCCTAGAGATTTCCTGTGATTAACCTTCCCATTTTTACTTAGCCTTTGTCTTTCTGTTTCCCTCCAAGATCAAACTCAAATGCTTGAGTTCTCTAACGCTGTTAAGAAAAACCTCACAGAAAAGGAATTAGAGTTGACTTCACATGCAAGCCTTCATGTTACCATGAAAGTTTTCAATATGCAACATGAAACACAAGACTTTCTAGTATGTTAATTTTTTCTTTCTAGGCAAATCCTCAGATGATGTAGCATACCCAAAGCTCTCAACTTTAAGAAAATTTGTATATACAACACTAGAACGTCATCATCATGTCGGAATAAAAAAGGCAAGCTTTTTTGACGTGGCACCACGCTCTTGTAACAAAGTTGCACGGGAAGGCTTTAGAGAGGCTTCATCATAAGATAGCCACACTAAACATCTAGGCTGCAATCTAAAATATAGACACACTGCTTATCTGGGCTTTTATCTGGTTGTTTCCCGGTACCTTGAGATTGAGCTATCATACTCAAGGGTCATTATCTAACCTCCCAAGAGCACCACTATCATTATCTGGCTGTAAAACAGGAAAGAATAGCATTGAATTTTTTTCTGAAGCTGAACTAACTGTACATTCAGATTGGCACACACATCCACCAAAAAAACTCCAGGCCTGCGGGGAAGGCGCAACACAGTCACAGCGAAAGCTTGAATAGCGGCTTTTCAGAGTCTTTTCAAAACACTCATTGGGTAACTACTGCAAGCACACTTGCTTGATACCCACTAGAGCAGTGATTCTCAAATAAGGGTCCGCAAAGCCATTTTTATGATCCGCGAAACCCTCACGCGCATTATTCTTTAAGCGTCATTGTGCCATGTATTGATGAACTGTGCAAAATGAAGTGATGTGACACGTTTGTTCGATGATTTCGGTAGCAATAAAAGCCACCTGTTTCACGCTCTAGCTGAGTTAATTTACCTACTTACCCCTCTCTCTCCCCTCCTATCCACTAGAAGGGGTCCCTTATCACTTCCACCAGTCCACAAGGTGTCCCCAACACACCCATAGGTGAGAACCACTGCACTAGAGCATTATTAATAAAAATTTTTGGGTAGTAGGCTGGCATTCGCTGTACTATTTTTCATATTTCTTCTGAGAGGCGTGGTATCCGCTAAACACTTGCAAGGAACTTCGCGCCCATTGTTCATGCAGAGGCTGACGTCGATGAGGAATTATGGCTGAAGTGGGTGTGCGCCACAGTTATTAGAAGAACAAGAAAAAGCTTTTGTAATGAGTTAGAGAATTGGACGACCCATTCGTTGAGCTATTCGGATTGTGTGACGACTGGTTGTTCTTTTGCCATTTTAGAACGCTTCATAAGTCGTATTAACGTGATTGCTTTCTTGATATCAAGCATGCCTAAGGCTAGTTTGCCAACAAGTCCCAAGCACTGGTATGGCTCAGTGGTAGAATACTGGGCTGGCACCCAGCGAATCCAGGCTCGAGCTCCACGGTGTCATTGGTGGTAGGTTTTTTTTTTTTTTCTAATTTCGGGCAATGTGCTTACGGACACCGGCGATGGCAGAGGCGGCGGGCAATTGCACGTGACCCGAGTTGTGATCTCATAACAGCTTTTGCTGTAAAATTCAATCAGCATTTGGTTCTAATTAATTGGTCCTGCCCTCTCTGTACACGCCATTTACATTCTGTTACCGTAGGTTGTACTCAATCTAACAACAAGCTCAAAGTTCTTGTAGCAGACGCTTGAACCCCTTGCTGATATCACTTGTACTATCACTTAATAGTGCAAACAGCCCATGTTGTATGGTGGCATGTTATTTTATTTATTATTTATTTATTTAAAAATACCTGCAATGCCCGAGTACAATATTGCAGGTGAAAAATACACAACGTAAAATACGCTTACACAAAAAGAACTATTCAAAAACAAGATGAACACAAAAACAGATCATAACAAAAATGCAGCTATGCCAGTAGCAATATGTTCCTGAAAGATGTTTCAGTGCGGCAGTCTGCAGCCTCCTGTGGAAGACGATTCAACTGGAAGATTGTGAGCGGAAAAAAGGAGTATTGGTAAATGTTTGTCCTGCAAAAACTTCTCCTAATTTTAGGGGGTGGTCAGTTCTCATAGATAAAAAAATTGGGAGTTAAAAGGTAATATTCTTCATCTATTTTGATCATCCCATGAAATATTTTGAACAGCATTTCTAATCTCAAGTGTTTCCTACGTGATACTAACAGATCCCACCCTAACCTATCCTTAGGCGCAGTGACATTGACACCGTGGTCATAGTTGCTAGTCACAAAACGAGCTGCGCAGTTTTGTACGATCTCGAGCATGTTAGACAGAGTTTTTGTTTGTGGATCCCACGCCACACAGGCGTACTCTAAGATAGGTCGGACATTCGAAAAGTAGAGTAGTTCTCCGATTTTGGGAGGAGCTAACCATAAGTTCTGTTTAACAAAGTTTAACATTCTGCAGGATCTTGCTGCGACATATTCAACTTGCTTAGTCCAGGTTGATAACAAATTGTACAGTGCACACAAAGACTTGCTTGCCGGTTCTCTTTCACTACCAACTCAGCAATTTGAGTATGCTTGTGAGTTGAACAAGACGTACCTTGTGGTTATTTTATAGTGCGCGAGCTTGTGAAGTTCAATTACAAGCAACAACACTCACACTTTCTTACGGGTATGAGGAGTAGCCCAGAAATAGGCGTAGTGGCTAGTGACAGCATGTGCGGCTTGAGCTGCATGTTGCCGCAAAACGTCACACCAGAAACGCTGATGTTGTACTTAAGCGTTCGTATCTACAAAGACCCAACTTATTGATTTGGGCACCTGTATATGCAATAACTGGTCAACTCCAGCTTGTCGTTTGTCAGCCTCCGAGTGCCTGTTGTGAGATTGGTACGCACATACCTGAATGTATATGGGCTTTCTTTTTCTGAATAGAACCATCTTTCTTTCCAAATCATTCTGCACGAACTACACAGATAAGTATGATCATACAAAGCATTGTGGGGTACATTGGCCATTGGGCTTGTACCAGCACTGGGAAGGGCTTTGAAACGAACAAATGACAACTGTCCTCTTGTTGCACAAAGCTACACGTCTTCAACTGCCAAACTGAGACAATTTTTCCTTCCACTAAGAGGCTTTCCTTTCCAAGAAATCTCTATGAATTTGCTTGTGGCTTTGTGCTTGTCGTCAATTACTTCTTTGGTAACAGTTTCGCCACTTAGCGGAATTCTGCAATGGCGAGGACTTCATGAAGACTATTATCAACTCACAAAGCGACGGGCTTCTTCAGTCCCTGCAGCATTCTCTCCAAGACCATCATGCCCTCATCCAGAATGAATTCCAGTTGCTTGACGCCCTTTTCGCGCAGAAAACGTCCGATGGCAGCCGCACCGTCCCGACCTTCGACCTCTTCGTCGTGGCCAAAGGCCAGAAAGAGACTGCGTTGAGGCAGGTCCCTCTGCTCCAGACGGAACTCGAGTGCCTCCATGATGCCCTGCATGCAGCGGAAACAGTTTGGGAAAAAGCGAGAGCCCTTCAACACTCAACCTTTTAAAGGAGTGCTGAAACAATTTGTCAAGTAACCATGAAATGGATTAACTAAAAGAGCTTATCACCTCACGAATTCAACCCGGCAAAAATTTTAAGTCCAGTGCGAGTGGAGTTACAAAAATTTTTCTCACGCTGCAATTGCATTCTTTCTTCTCTCGTCCCGATGAAAACGCTGGAATCTAAGCAGGGGAGATGGCACGGGCAAAGAAAATGCATCACACGTGCTTCGTGACCTTGAGCAGTTTTTTCTTTGTTTTTCATCAAATACGCGGATTTTTGAGTGCGCTTGAGAGCCCACAGATGGACAAGCCGCTGCCTCCCGCGGCGATGCCTGCAACGACCGAGCATGCCATGTTCAAATCAGCTAACGGCTGGTAGAAGGCCTTCTAGGAGTGAATTTTCAGCTTCCTCCGTCATTTGTCGAGAGAAGAGAAAGAAATTTTTAGCCGACTTTGATAATTTGTTGTGAATTGCAGGCCACGCGCTGCACTATAATACTTGGCTTGCGTGTTGTTGGGAGCCTTTACTACCGATCGGCAGCGTTTCCTGACCATGCTCAAGAAGTGCTGCACGGCCCCTTTAATGTGTCCTAGCTATATTCCAATTCTTTTAGTGAGTGAATTCTACAATGAAGCAAGGGGTGTAATGAATGGTTTTCAGATCGCTGAACACTATTAGAGATGATAGTATTTCTTTGGATACTTGAATGCAGAAATATTGGTCTTTCCGTCTGTCTGTCACATGATTCAGCCACTTCACCAACGTTTCAGAACTTGCTGCATGCCCAGCCATATTGAACTGGTGGTGCATTAATACTAGTGAATATTGTCAATCAAAAAACAACTAGTATTCTTACTCAAAGCCCAACATCAATACGTAAGCATTAGGTGGTGCGTACCTTCACTATAAAACACATACATACAGTCAACTGCCGATTTTTCAGACACCCAAATTTTTGGACATGCCTGTAAATTTGGACATCTTCGCGGCCCCGCCATGAGGCCCATAGAATCAATGTATAAGGAAGTCTGAAATTTCGGACACTCGAACCCCCCGGTGTCCAATTTTCCGGACTTTTTGAAGCGACGGAAGGTCGGAAACCACCACTGACCTCCAGTGGAAACCACCACAACTGCGTCACACGCGATTACGATCGCATAAATGAGCTTTCCGGTGTACTGTGGCGGCATCTGTTGCTTGGACTCATTGATTGTTAGCGGAGAAACACACACGGCCTTTGAGATTCCTAACACTGGCCGTATTTATTGTGCAAGGGTGCTTCGCTGACAATCGAAACTATCCACCCGAAAATTTTTTGCCGCCAATAAAGTTCTTTTCGCTTTAGCGCTTGTGCTCGTGCGTGCCACCCTTGCTTCCTGCGCAGCGCTTTCGCGAAGCGTTTCACCACTTCGAACTAGAACTAACCGTCACACGCCGATTTGGGCTGGCCACGCTGGCTATCTTGCATGTTTACCAGCGCCACCTTAGGAGTACCTGAGGGCACCGTCACCTGTTGTCGTGCTGTTTTTTTTACGCAGCCCACATGGTGTTTGGCTAGCCTAGTGTGTGGTTGTGCGATCGTGTGAAGTGTGCTCTGCAAAGCTAAGCCTAAGTGCTTCGATGCTTGTCAGCAAACTCCTTTGTTCACATTGTGAGGATTTCGCTTGCCTGCGATGGCCCCCACTCCACCTCCGTCGTCCTCGCCGATGGCATCGAAGCGCGGAAAACAGTACCGTCGGTTAACGATGGAGAAGAAAGCCGCCATTAAGTTAGTGAAGAGTGGCCGATCTCAGGCTGAAGTGAGCAAAGAGTTCGGCATTTCCAAGCAAACACTTTCCGATTTTTTGAGGAACAAAGACAAGATCTTGGAAGCGGCCGAAAAACCGTCTGGTGCCCAAAAGATGAATGCAAGCCAAGGTGTTCATCCAAAGCTTGAGGACGCTCTCGTCGTGTGGCTTAATTCAATGATTGCCAAGCGGTTGCCAGACTCGGGCGGCATCATGAAACAAAAAGCAGGAACTCTCGCGCTTCGAATGGAGAAATATCGAAATCCGGTGTCGCACTTCGATCCGAAAAGCGACACCAAATTTCTCGGATCGCGCTTCGATCCGAGAAATATAAAAAAAATGGTCTGTTTTTGATTGCACTGAGAAATATTAGCAAAATGGTGCATTTTTTTTGCTTGCATTGAAAATAATCAGTAAAATAATGGGTTTTTTTTACTTGCATTCATTTTTTTGGACTGCCTGAATTTTTGGACGGTTTTTCGCTCCCTAGAGGGTCTAAAAAATCGGCAGTTGATTGCAATTCTAAAGATCCTAGTGTTTCTTACGCTGTGCTGAAAATGCGATGATATGCACGAAAAAGCTTTCTGCCAATGATACGGTGCTGCCACCTGGCAGTGGCCCTAGGTTCCGCACAAGGTCTGGCAGAAGACTAATATCTTTCGATGACATTTGCAGTAGAGTAAAAGATATGCGGCCAGTTTATTTTTTTGTCAAGACATGCAACCATATTGAATAAACAACAGTGGCCCCTCGATTTCTGTTGACTGCCTTGGTTGGTTTTTAACTTTATTGAATTGTCCTGCAGGTTGGTGTGAATGAGGCAAATTCGAAAACATTGATCCCTTTACTTCCTACAATCCTGAATAAAAAAACAAAAACATTAAGGGCTCATTTTTTTATTCAACCTTAATGAAAACTCAGAAATAATGAAGCTAGGGAAAGCATAGTGTGTTAATTGTACAGTGGTCTTCTCTTAAACGGAACTCAAAGGGGCAAGAACGTTTGTTCCATTTATGAGAAGTTTCATTTAAGCAAAGCCCACTAAATGAATGAAACATGACATTATTTCAAAAGGATTAACTGTAGCTGACTGGACAAAAACATGTTGAAGTACACAATACTACTATAGTTGATTAATAAAAAAAAATGTTGCTATCATTGCTGACTCGGAAAAAAGAAGGTGATAACAATTTGCTTAGCCTTGTTCAAGCACTTTCTCACGTAGTAGGAGTGCATTGCTGAAAGGTTGGGCAGGAACTCTGTGCCATCATTGTGCTCAAAGTATCACTGCAATAGGATCACAGCATTTCTTGCTGCACTTTCGGCCACTGAAACGGGCTCGGGATCACACACCGTCTCATTACTACTTGAGCACAGGTCCTCATCTTGAACTTCAGCTATAAGTTCCTCAAGACTGTCCTCGCAGCATGTGGCGATGTTTGCATCAAGTGTTTCATAGTTTCATAGATTGCTGCTCGGCGTGCATGGACATGTGCAATCGCTGGATTGGCTTGACTAGACTAGCATTGGCATTTGTTTCATGGTTGATAGACTGCCATGGCCACTTCACCTGTTCAAAGATTTTGCCGGTTTTAGTTTTATTTACCCGATGTAAGCTAAAAAAGAATGTCTTGATTACCTGAAAACTTTTATCATTAAATATAAAGGAGACCAACCAAATGTGTTTAGATAGTTTCATTTCCAAGGTTTTTCCGTTTAACCGAGTTACGTTTAATGGGCGTCTATTTTACTGTTGTAACTGCATAGCGGTATCAAGCAATCATCATATGAATGTGAAAAAAGCAATGCGGACATAGTAACAAGTTGCCGCCAGCAAGGACCAAGCCTGAAACCGTAGAACAGTGTGCCCTATATTGTGCCACTGCAGCTAAATTGGAGGAACACTGGGCGCATTAACCGCAAGTTTACATGTTTGATCCCCGCTAGTGGCAAGTTGCCTTTTCGTGCACTTTACTGTCTTTGCATTTTAATCTTAATTATCACAATATAGTCACAAGAGACAATGCAAACATTCCTAGGCTTCGCTTATTCTCATTACTGTATTTACGTAATACGAGATTGGAGACAGACATTCTCACCATGAGGATGTCCTTGGCGTCAATGGCACCCCTGCCCCAGATTTCCCCGTCCACCACCTGCCCGGCGAATGGCGGGTGGTGCCACTTAGCGGCATTGACAGGAACAACGTCCATGTGCGCGCAGAGCATGTAGGGCATCAGGTCGGGATCCGAACCTTGGACCTCGTACAGGAGGCTATAGTTGGCCACCACATGGCGTTTGACCAAGGGAGATGAGTGGACATGAGGAAAGGCTGCAAGATCGAAGATTACAGTGTGAACTTTCATCAATAAATCATTTTATTTAGGCAGTTGGTGGTGGCAATCAGCCGGTAGTGCCAAATGCCACCAGTGACTGCACAAAGGGTACTCAGAGAAAACTTGAGCAAGAGGCCAAACACTACATTAGTGTCACACTGTCTAATTCAAGAGCTAATTTTTTCTCGTTAGATTTCTTTTCAGATTTACATTACAATTACTACTAAAAACATCCCCTATATTTTCCTTGGCATTATTGTTGATTAGATCTCACTAAAAACATTAAATGCAATGCAAAATTAACTCTAAATGAATTATGAAGCCAACTTCAGGTACTTCATATGTGGTCATTTAAACAGCACTGTCGAGAAATAAAAATGAACCGATTTGGCTAAGCAGTACTTTGAAAGCTCGAAAAGTGATGCAAGATTTATGAAATTAAAAATTGCCGGCAAGCCATTTTCAGCAAGAGGATACGAAAGAATAGTTTTTTATTATTAGCTGCACATTACAGATGTTTTTTTTTTTTTTGCTATATTTAATGTGTCTATGCTTGAAGTTACTATTAAGAAGTAAGGGAATCCACTGCATACTGCAACCTGCCTGTGCACTAAATAACTTGCGTGGTAGGCTTAGCCCTGAAAAGTTGTTGGTCTTGGTTTTAAATTCTCAACCGGGAACACTTTCTCTCTTGACATGGAAGTTTTCTTTCAAAGAGATCTATAACGCTTTCAGCAACAATGTATAAAATTGTACACATCAACTACAGGTGCTCGTCACGAACCACAAGTTTCAATGAATAGATTGAAATGCACCATGCAGATTCGTGCGGACTTCCTGAGCGGACAACAAGCAGCCATTTAAATTTATCGTGCTACTTATTGCTGCATAGGATCACTTTGCTTGAGACACTAGCATGTTCGAAACCAAGGTGAAGAGTTTGTTTAAGGGGCGATACTCCTTAGGGCATAGGCTAGTCCCTCGCCGTTCTAGTAGCCACCCCTATTACGGGGAGTGCTCACTAGATGGCACTGTGGCCCTCACTCCGCTAGCACTCGAATCACTCATCACATGGAACTAGGGGGCGCTCGCTCCCCTTTGATGCGTTTGAGATGAGTGCTTGAGCACTGCACCTTGGCCCAGCCCAAAAACTTCATGTCCAGCCCCCCCCTAGCTTGGCCCAGGGTTTTTAAATACGGCCCGTACCCGGCCCCGGCCATTCGGGCTCGGGCCGAGTACGGGCTAGCCCGTTTCAGCCAGTTTTGCCTTGAACACAAACGAGGCCCAGCCACTCTTCGGTTATTGTGAAGGTATCTTCCTCACACAAAAGATATTCTAGTCAGTGTTTTGGAACTTCTTTCAAAGTCACGACTTTATCTGGCGCACTTTGTGTAATTTCAGTTACTTACACCCGTAAAAGTTTTGGAAAAGAATTGCAAGCTAATGTATAATATGTCTGTAGTCATAGCTGGCTGTCTCATATACGCAGCACTAATCACACAATCCTATTTTTGCATTTCAAAAAACCACTACAAAATATACCCACATAGGGTGGGAAAAATGGCAGACACTTATAGTTTGAGTCTACAGCGTTTGTGCCAGCGGCTCCGGGGAAGACTACCTGCATGAAAGGGTATATTGTCATCCTTAAACGTGCGCAAGTTAGCGCAGCTCCGAAGGCTTTCCGTCCTTTCATCGCACAAAGTTCCATATTGCAATAAAGAATTTCTGATAAGAAAGCCACGAGGAAATCCGTACGGATTTCTCAGAAAGAAAAGCCTTTTAGTTGCTGAAAAATTTATCCTGGTCCGCGATCAGAAAGGGGTCGTTTTGGTCTGGTCAGGAGCTCAGAGTAGGACGAATTTTTCGACTACTAAGAGTCTTTTCTTTCTGAGAAATCCGTATGAATTTCCTTGTCGCTTTGTGGGACAAACGGGTGGTTGTCTTCCTTTCTTAACCCTTCCGCCACCTTGCGGGTTTCCGCAGAACTCATTTGCACTAGCTGTTGAGCGAGCATTAAGGGAAATTTGCGCCCATGCATCAAAATTACTGCACACTTGTTTAGCATGTATGTGTCGTTTTAGTGACCACAACCACTCACATAGCTCAGCGAGACTGCCATTAAAGCCACCATGACGACGGAATTGACGCAGGACTCTCATATTTAGGTGTGCACAATGCTGATATGGCAGCAGCCATTCAGGCCAGTTGCTGTCTTCGGAAGTTGTCGCGTTGTTGAAGGGAGAGCTGATACCACGAGCCTCTTTGTCTTCAGCTCCCTGTTAAAGTTGGACATTGAGAGGTACTTTTCTGCTTCGTTCGAAGATGCCACAAACACAACCGGGGTTTCCGTCGTGCATGTTCGGCGCAATACTTCTGAGGAAGAAAGTTTAAGCGGAAAGACAGGGAGGTTCTGATATTTTATCAGTGGCAATCTTCTCCACATGTCCCCTTCAGATGCGAAGAAGCTTAGGGTAGCGCACAATCCGGTGTGCGGCGTGAACCCCCTTATGACGCATGGTTGTCCGCTCCCTCTGTTTCACCTCAAAATGCCGATGTAGACACCGTCTGCTAGCGAGTTTGTGGATTAAAAAAAGACCGACTGATCGCGCTGCACAATCGTTAACTGGCCACACCGTATATATAGGCGCTGGATCTTGACCTCTAAGGTAATGCCGGTGGGAGGTTTCTTCTGTCCGCTGTTAACAATAAATATTCGCAACATGCGCGTTATCTAAAAGGGGACTGCGGGTCTCTGTGCCTGTTCGGATTATTCTGTCTTTCATCGCTCATTTGCAGCGATTAGCATGTTCCAGTAGAAAGCACTGGTCGACGAATGCGTGCTTTGTGCCTCCCGGTCGGGTATCTCTCCTGCGCAACGCCACGCTGAGCGCCAGTGTAAGCGTTAGCCCCACTGCATCGCATCTTCACATGGTTCCCTTTAGCCGGACATGGTGTAATTATTTTTTCATAGGTGGTGCAAGATTGAACTGTTCCTTTCTTCAACTAAATGACAACACCGCCATGATCCTTCGCAGATGTCATTAGTAGCACAGCTTCTTCATGACCATTTCGGAAAACGATCGCTTCGTTGAACCCTCTTATGTCGATGTCCTGCTGTGGGAATGTCTTCCCAATAATACCACTGGTATTGGGCTCATAAACCCATTGTGACAAGTAAGTGGAATCCTCCTCTCATAAACATCTCTTCGCAGGACGTAGATATGACTGCTCGCATGATGTCCAACTTTCTCCTCGACGAATGATGGTCCTTGGAGAGTCAAATGATTAATAATGCTCTGTTATTCGATACCCAACGCACTCTGCTGTTATTTGGCATTACTTTTCACAATCAGTCCGATACATTAAAAAGACATACACCGGGTTTACAGGTGTCGCTGTTGCTTGGGAAAACAATTGTAACTGCCAATGATTGATGCTCTGCAATGATGACTTTGTGAAGATTATTCGTCTGAAGATTCAATGATGTCACTGCAAATGAAAAGAATGGTGCCAGCTTTTCTCTGCACTAATTACGACAATAATTACAAAAATTAAAACAATCAACATTTTAACCACTGGAAATAGCCGGTCGAGTCAAATGGGCAGATTAAAGTTCTTCCCACGAATAGTCCGTAGGCACTTTGAAATTTTCCAAAGGCGGTCAATGGTAATCACCGTGGAGCGATGAAATCTGGGTGATTTAGCTGGCGAAACCGAAACCGGCGCATCAAGCAGCCTGTCTGCCATTCACTTCGAAAACAGCCTCGATAATAAGTTAACGATAATTAATTGTTTAAAAAGTTAGCTGTTTACTATAAATAATGCCGTAAATATTGTTTGTACACACTTGAGGATGCCTTCTGCCAGAGTAAAGGGAGTGCCGCAGGCAGCACGCGGATGCCTCCTTTCTGCAATTGCTTCAAACACCAGCTGAATGAGACCTGGGCCTAATATGGGCCTGCCTCAGGCCCGGGCCCGAAGCTCATGCGCCAGAGCCCGGCCAGAGCCCGACACAACAATGCCTTACCCGGCCCGACCCGACCCGCAGGCTGGGTCGGGCCTGGGCTTTCAGGCCGGCGCAGACCCTTGCAGTGCTCTAACGTGTACTTGGCATGCTTTCTCTTTCACTGGCAGTCACTGCGCTTGCATGCCTCGCAACGAGCGATGAGGACAAGGCGGTGAATCAGAGGGCTCTCAAAGCAGCTGCAGTACGTGCTCGCCGTCAAGACCCGGAGATGAGGGCCCGCGAACCCAAAGCTGCCAGAAAGTGCCGGCAAGAGGATCCAGAGATGGCGAGGGCTCTCGCAACGGCTGCAAAACGTGCACAAAGGCAGGCGGATCTCGAGCTCAGAGCCCGCGAAGCTTCGCCCCACTCATCATCATTCACTCTGTGGATATGCCGTCAACTTTTCTTTGTTTGACATTAATACAGGCAAAAAACAAGGGCATGCACTCAGGACCTAATATTTTATTCTTTGTATGCAAGACTAAAGCTGCTTGACTGCAAAATAATTAGAGATTTCATTACATGCCATTTAACATCAATTAGTGAAACTTGCACAAAACAATGCATTCTTTCATTGTTATTTTTTTCTTTTAATATAATATACTGAGTGCCTTAGAATCATGCCATGCGAATTTGATGCACTTGCAGACAGTGAATCATAATTCGTTCTTGAAGGGATTCTACTTTTTATTGATCACTTCGTCGGGTTAAAAAAACAAACAAGACCCAGCCACTTACCTTTCTCAAGAAACAGTCTAAAATCCACCAGGGCCTCCCGATTGTACTCGTGTGGACCTGTGCTGACAGTGGGGAATCGCAGGGCAGATGCTAGCCTCTCAGAGAGATGGCGGTCACTTTCATTAATAGCCAGCTCCTAGAATGAACAATGGTAACCCTATCTTCAATGTTCTTTTTCATGAAAACACTGCACATGAAACTGCCTTAGCTCTTCGTATCTCAGAGCCCACATATGTGGGTGGAACGTATTTTGTTTAGGCTAGCCAATGCCTTACTTTGAAATCGATTTCAAATGGTGGAATTACTCTTGCATAATGTAATGCCAAAACTATAAATCTGCTCTAAGGCGAGAAATTGGCTAGCCCAACCTAAATTTGCTAATATGATCTGCCCACATATGTGGACACAAAGATACAAAAGGTTGAAGGTGGTGAAGAAAGAAACAGTTCTTCTAGTATGTATTAGTAAATTATTCTTTCACAATGCGTCTCTCATAATCATATTACGGTTTTGGGACGTTAAACCCCACATATCAAATTCTTTCACAATTCCGAAACTGCCATGTTTGCCACGAGATGATACTTAGCACACGAGAAAATGCACGAAAAGAAAATGCATGCACTGACACAGTGGCATCACTTCAAAGTTTCCATGCCAAATGCCACGAGATCACAGATTTTTTTTCTTAAACTTATTCTCTAGGAGGTCAGAAATCTTTTGAGGAGGTCATGGATGTAATTAATTTAGCTCTAGGAAACTTTTTTGAGCCAATGTCCCCAAAATTAGGAAATTTGTAATCAGCGGTATCGCGTGAGAAGATTTTGGCACAAAATTTAAAAAATGAAACTTCCACCTTGATTCTATTCTCTAAAATAAACCTATAACAGTGAGGTATACGTAGTTTTCAGAGTATAATTCATCCATGCCATCCAATTTATTGTTTCTTTTAAGAGTCCTATTAATTTGCGAATTGCCCTGCTGCAGTGGTCCAGTGGCTAAGGTACTCCGCTGCTGTCCCGCAGGCCCTGAGATTGAATCCCGGCTGAGGCAGCTGCATTTTCGATGGAGGCGAAAATGCTGTAGGCCTGTGTGCTCAGATCTACGTGTACGTTAAAGAACTCCAGGTGGTCGAAATTTTCGAAGCCTTACACTACGGCGTCTCTCATAATCATATGGTGGGTCTGGGACGTCAAACCTCACATATCAATCAATCTATCAATAGTTTGCAAATTTACATAAGTGAGTTTGTAAGCTATTTATACCCCCCCTTGTTTCTTTGGGTCTGAAGGTATTCATTATTTCATATGTCTTATTGTACACCACTATTTCCACAGTGATTACATCCACCATCGAAACTAGCCTTCAATCTGCCAGACCTTTCATCGAGAAAGTTTGCCCAGTTATTTTTCTGTTATAAAACTTATTTGCTAACTCGCAATGCAAAATGACTGTCTCATATCTACACTTTATAAGTCACCACAAATCGACTAAAGCATTATGCTACATGAAACAAGTTGCCAGATAAACTTAATCTTCTGTTCATTTCTGTCAAAGACAGCAGCCAAATGGAATGTTCACTTTTCCATTTTGGTTATCAACAATGCTGATTAAGTGTCTTTTCAAGTAGCTTTATTTATTATTGCACGATATGTATATACATAAGAGCTCATCCCTATAAAACTGTCAGAAAGTGAGAATATTTGAAATAAATCAATGAGCACTTTAAGATACGAGACGTAGTGGAAAAAGCAATTTTTTTCTCAAAACGTTGTTTTTCTGTTTTTGTTATGTTAAATGCGCAATTTATTACCCGTGATTTTGTTGCATAGTGTTTCCATTTACGCAGGTTTCTTTCAAAAGATATAAGCAAAAATGTTAGACCACCCATCACCTACGAAAGCGAAGCTGAAAGTGCCAGTTTTGTGTACATCATAAGATTAGCATGATATGTGGTATTTAGTTGACTATTTAGCATTTATATCACATGGGAACATATCATAATCCTCTGAAAACATTGTAAAGACATTAGAAATGTCAAACTTCTCACTAAGTGAACATGTTAAGCGGTCCATGTGTTGCTCACACTCAAGAACACATATGTGAGTCTGGAAACGATCTAATTTGCTTTGTTTCATGATATGTGTCATTTTATTAATGTCAACAGAAGCACATTTGATATTTTTAAGAAAATTGGGATTGAACCTGGCCCCTCCACAGGAAAAACGTGCCTCACAAACAATCAGCATCGTAGTGCCAAACTTCCCATCATGTTGCAAAACAAGCTCGAAAAAAATTTTGAGTTGCCGTTAGAAAAAAGGCACACAATAGTAAGGTCTAGGTTGGAACTGGCTACAAATGTTGAGAATATTAGCCCTTCTGAATACCTTGTGTAAGCACTGCACCTTTTCAAATCATATTAGTCGATTTTCTCAAGACATGCATTTCTTATATTTTTCCATACACAAACAGTCGGAGCTCTTCTGCTAATTAACATTTTTCATTAAAACTTGGCACACTTCTTTATCACATTAATAGGCATGCAAAGAACCTCAAAGAACAAAATCGTACCACAACATTTAATATGGCTGCCTGTTATACAGAAGTGCCCCTAGTGATACCGCATACTTTTATTGGTCACCTCATAACTATGTCTTTACTATCCATCAGATGTTACATGTTTTGATTGATTGCACAGGCCAAAACTTTTTTGTGTGTGCCTACAAAAAATGAAAATTTTTCAAGGAGCGGAACTTGAGTTAGGAGTGTCCACACAAGGCATACTTTTAGAAAAACTTATAATCATGAAAAGCGACCAAAAATTATGACTTGCTTTATAACGCTCACATGTGCCTATAAAGGTGTGCTTTATCTTGCAGACTAATGATTTCCAATTGCTTTTGGGAAGAAATTTTTTTTTTTAAATCATGGCCTCGTGCTTTAACAGATCAAAAACCAGTTCTTATGGTAACTGTTTTCTTATTTTGGGGGGAGGGGGAGGAGGGGGCAATGAAAGCTTACTGTTCTGTGTCAAATCAAGGAAAGAAGCCCGTATTAGAGCAGGAACCAATATTAATATACTTACTATAATACTGAGCCCTAACTATCATGGACATAAAATTATTGGGCCACATGCAGTACCAAGGCTCTTTTGCTGGGTTAAGTGACATATTAGTTTTCAATCGCTTTTAAATTCAATTTTAAAAAATGTAAATCCTGCTTATGTTGTGGAAAAGTTGCTTAAATCTGTCACTACAATTCATGGTCTTTTCATGTTCGCCAAGATCTATTTAAAATCACACATTCTGACCATCTTTCGGTTCCTTTAGCATGTGCCGTAATAGTCTGACCCCAACGTACTATACTCCTGACCTGCCCACGTGACGACGTTCCATGGTGCCATGTGCATGGTGGAATGCTATGCTGCACATATTTGCTCTTGTTCCAGGATCAGCTGCTTCTGTTACACCAACAGAGGTTTGGTAGATACACAAGTGCACAACATGGCACCATACATGGGTGCACAATACTGCACCATGGCGTGCTATCGTGCACATGGTCATGCATATGTGATGCGGCGCTGGTTTGTCTGCTGTACTCACATTTTCCAAGCTACTGCATCACAACATATTTGTTCTTATTCCACAATTAGCTCCTCCTGTTACGTCAACAGAGCTTTTACAGATAAGAGGGTGCACATCATCATGTGCCTTCTTTCAGATTGCCCTTGTTCGTTGTACCAGTAAATTTGGGTGTATTTTCAAATCCCTGCCATGCTTGTGACAGTGAAAATTTTCACCAGACACTTCAGCCAACTTTTGAGTGTATGTTTACAAAAGCACCAAATGCCCCAACGCTGGCGAACCATCTTCTGGACTATTAGTAATGAATTTGTCTCCTCTGTTGCTTATGCAAATAAAAATCACCTATCTGTGGGTGAACAAATAGAAGAAACGTGGCTGAACAGAAGTGAACATACGAGTCCATCTTATTATATGTAGTATAGCAGGTGTGCATGCCAACAGTTTTGTGTGTTTATGATAAACAACTAATTAGGAGTAGCCTCACCTATAAAAAAAAATTGGCTCGATCCTTTTCTCACACATTGGAAACTATGTGGCCCATTGGTGATTTTACTGAATCAATAGACTTCTGCTGAATTTTTCGTTAGTTTCTTTAAGGAGTACATGTCTACACAATCATCTTGACCCTGCGTGAGCAGACAACCGCAGGGGAGCTGTGTTGTTTGGGAAGCTAGTAGAGCCAAAACTGTGGTGAAAAAAAAAAAAAAACCTTAAACGTCAGAAAAAAAGAGCCTAGCATAAGCATGCTGGTGTTCTGCTTGCTGGGCAGGTCAGGAGTACAAGTGCACCAGAAGTAACAGGCATTTTTCACGGGTAGAACCGGAGCAGGTTTTTTTTTTGCTCTGCGGCGACGAATCTGCCTTTCATTGATAGATTTGGAGTGGGTCCGCGCTTTTCACTGGTAGCTTCAGGGCAACTCGCTCCGAGGTGGATTGCTCTCACTGCTCCACCGCCAAGTCGCAAATTCGGGTGAAAGTATGACGAGCAGCATACATCACTTCCGTCGTTGTGCGTGGGCTCAGCTTTGCAAAATGGCTGCATTCACTGCTGTAGAAGAACTGCTGTCCAGCGATGAGCACCCCCAGCAGCAGCTGACACACATAGCCCGAGAGACTTCCATGTGCTTGTCCATATTTGCACTGGCGGCAAATTTGCCATGGAAACGTAGAGAGTGGAAAAAGGAATCATTTCCGGAATAGGTTTAGTGGCGTATACGCAAACAACTTCTGGAACGACCTCCCCTGGGGCATTCAGGTGTTTCACTGGCAGATTGGGCTTGGTGCAATCCGACTGCTTGCTTCAGGATTTCGGCAGCTACTCGGGATCTCTTAGTGAAAAGCGCCATAACACTGACCACACAAGCATTTTCCAAACAAAGCCAAAACTCATTCAAGTGCACTTTATCAGCAGATATGCTGTAGATAGCAAGACTGCAGCAGCACATTTCGCTGATAAATTGCGATACCCATTGCGAAATCCATGCCAATACCATTCTTGCTTGTCAGGGGTGAAAGTGACAACTTTCCTGGTGAACCAGACAGTGAACGCTGCTCAAGTTCTCCTAAAGATGAGGGGCAATAACGAATGCATAACGCATTAGGGTGCCCTTCACAAACAGTAACGGTTGCAGCGTGGCTTCACTTAAGCTAGTGATAAGCATCAGAATATCAGAATAGCTCAGCAGGGTATGCCAACACACATTATCTGCAGGGTATCTGCTGATACAGCATGCAGTTCTGTCCAGTTTGACCAGAGGTCATGTGCTCAGTTTTACTTTGGGGCCCGCGTAATATAACTCATGGGTCTGGCTTTAGTACTTTACATGAGCAGACAACCCCACACGTACGATTGCAAAGAACACAAATGGGCTGCCCTTACTACATGCACCAACACTGAAATGATGGAAGATAACACTTCTTACCTCCAAGATAACTCAGCTGTAGCCTATTAAACTGCCCGTCTTGCAACATTTGCTGCAGCTTCTTATCACCCACTGCCAGTGAGGATGAGGCAAGTTGCTCTTACTTTAGAACTCTGGCTATAAAACTTCTAGTGACCTTCATTACAATATCAAACAAAAAAAGAGAATAAATAGAGAATGAAGCCCGTGTCTTCTGATTACAAGCTCGGCATGGCTTCAGAATGTTCGCACTGACCCTTTTTACAATATTAAGGACAGAAAGTTTTCCGTCATGCATGTCTCTTTAATCCTTCATTTCAGACTCACTTTTCTTTCTTGTATGGACCACATGGTGGCCCGACAAAGCATCAAGTAAAGTGCCGCAGCCTTTGGTGATTCACTGCTAACCTACGTGTGCACAGTGTTTATCAGTGCACATGCACAATAACTGGTTCAATGTGCTCGTGTTTTTCTTTATCACTGGTTAGCTTGTCATACATTGCACAAACTTCCCAGTTCAATGTGATCAAAATGCTCGTGTCCTATGAAATTTAACATGTAGCTGAAAATGCAATAAACTGAGCATTACAGACATGAGCAACACTGAGTCAACACGCTAGAAGAATTGTTCTTGCAGAGACACACTGAACAATTCATAGCGTCTATCTTAAGGTTAGACTGCAGTAAAAAAAAAGAACAATAACAATATTTCTCTTCCTTCTGTAACTCACTCTTCTTGATGACTTCAGATTACAGCTTTGTTGCAGAAGTTCTTCCTTTTCTCCTCTACTGTTACACTAATCAAATGCTTCGTAATGGATGTACATGCAGACCTTCTGAGGTAGCCGATAACCACAACTAGCTTGGCAAGGTTCTGTTTGGCTAGCTTTGCATCGTGTGTAACAAATGGCCTGTCGAAGTAAGTACTCAACGAGGGCAGACATGGGGGAGGAGGCTATAAATAATAAATTGTTGACATGCAAATGGCTAGTCACAAAAGTGACAAGCACACTATCGTTGCAATAAATAGGAGGCTTTGGTGACGAGCACTAGCTTCAAAGGTTGACATCGAGAAAGCGAAACGCTCATCGCCGCGATTTCACAATCAGACCTTATAACTATCTACGCACTCCTCGTTTTAACTGCCAGCGTAGGAAAAAAAAAAAAAAACACGGAAACTGCTTCCGCATGCAGATGCTAGCAGCTGTGTGATACGGAATGCCAAGTGATACGCGCAGATAGGCCACATACCTGTTCGTTGTCCGGCCACGCGCACGGCATATCTGGAGTCTCGATGAGCAATGCACGCACCAGGACAGTAATTAGCAGTGAAATGATAGTCACTGCAATTATAAACAACAAAACGAAGAGCGCACGTTTGCCGTAGAGTGCTCGCTTGCGCACGTCGGGACCGAACGTTGTTTTCAAACCAGCCATGATGTTACGACGAAACACTTCCTCCTAACTTGCCGGAACGTTTCTGGTCTCCGGTCCGGCGCTGCACTGTTGACACACTACCGAACAGCGCACTGACAGTTGTCGCACGTGAACAGCAACCGCGATACAAACGAAACAACGTGACCACCGTCAACAGCTGACTGCGATGCAAGGCCGGCGCGCCCGAACGTCAAAAAGGTCACGCAGTTGGCATTGTTAAGCCTTCGAGATGGCTGTTTCGTCGATGAGGACAGACTCGGAGATTAAACCAAAACAAGATTTGCCGGTGGTCCGCCAGTTGACGCTACCTTAGGAACCACCAATGTTCGTGTTCTCTGGTCCAGCCGCCCCATCCTCGCCAGCGGCACGCTGATTCTCGTACTAATGGCTTCGAAGAACATCTCGCGTATCATATTCGTTACCGGCAACAAAAACAAGCTGCGGGAAGTCGTGACTATTCTGGGCAAGATTCCTGGTTTCGAGGTAAGTAAGCTTGAGCGCCAGCAAGTTCACACGCCGGCGGAATTGTTTCGTTTTGAATGGGACGATCATAGCTCGAAATCTTGCGGCCTTGCGCGTGAATCGGAACTTGCCAATAGTGGAGCATGACATACTGGCACACTGGCGAATTGAGAAAGGCTGCCGGCAATAACGAGGCACGCAGCTCTGAGATATCCTAACCACCATTTGTGTGTGTGTTCCCGTTGATGCCCGCGCCAATTTTGAATTGCGCACTGGCCCGTGCCAGATTCAGTGGTGTACATCTGTCAACGTTGTTGACACCTATGACTGAAACGTCGTTACGTATGCAAAGTGGCACAGATCCGTTAGACTGACCTCGAATAGGACACTCTAGTTCCGTTTGGGGTTGTACGGTGTCGCTTAAGCTTGTTGCCACGCTTGGGGGTATTTGCGCCTGCAGTTCCAGCTTTCTCATAAGATTCTTGTGTAATTCGCTGTGCATCTCGCAAGCGCCTGTGCGGCGTAATGACCTCTGTGTGTTGCAGAAATCGGAACCTTTTTTTAGATGCGAAGCACCTTATGGCAGAGTTCAAGCCGATGTGCGGCGTGACCCCACTACTTGCGCGTGCGCCAACTCTCACCCCTCTCCTCGCGTGAGTGCGAAGAGGCGGCAGAGCTTTGGCTGAGGGCTGCATTCTCTTCGTTTCTTCTCTCCCGTTTATCTCGCCGCCACAGCTGTGCGCTCGTATATAATGATATGTGTGCTTGCTCTGTTGCACACTGCTAGCAGCGCTGGGTGTTCACTTTGCGGCACTCACACGGTGATACACACAAATTGGGGGGGGGGGGGGGGGGGGGGTTGGTAACATAAGTGGTGTACAACATATACACAGCTCCACACACAAATGAAACATACACGGAAACATACAAATAGAAAAAACAGATGCAAACACAAGTGAACACCAGCGCTGCTTCACATCGATCCTCACCTGGTACCTTTAGTGGGAGATGGCATATTTTTCGTACTGTACATTTCATCCTATGATTGACAGATTGAAATCAATCATGTCCAGGAAGTTGGGAATTTAAGCGTTCGGACTGGATTGTGACTCTAAAGTACACGACGGGTTTACTCGTGAAACTTAATGGCGGCGCAGAAGACCAGGCATTGTGTGGGTAGTGCTGCGATACTTTTGAATCGTTGCTGAAGTATGGCATATCTCCGTGGCATCAACAATGCACAGCGGCACGTTCGCTAGGAAAGCTAGCATCTTAAAAAACGTGGCGCTCTTCCACACTCGATATGGCACCCTAGTGGCTTGGGCACACCATGGAGGCTGGCAAAATACTGAGAATGGCGAAGCGGCACATGGGTTACTGGCACTTTTGTGACACCAGCACGCCATGGACACTGGAAAAACCAAGCTAGTGAGAGCTGATTGATGGGATAACATGCTGGCCGACACTTCAGCAACTGTAGCCGGCACAATATGAGAACAGCAAAATACCGGCATTCTTTTCTGATTGGCTGTAGCGACTGCCGTCACAACGTGGCAGGCCTAATTAAAATGGCCAAACTCAACACAACACTCAGGCACTTCCCAAAATACACAGTGGACTAAACAGGAACCGTATGGGAAAGCTGGAGTTGTAGGAGTAAATTTAGCCACCAGATGTGCCAACAGTTTGGCAGCACTGATCGCCAAGTCTGGCAACGAATTTATGCAACACCAGACTAGCATAGAGTATTTTATAAATGCACGTGAGAGAACTCTGGCGCTAGTGTCTATGGGAGCTGCAACGCATAGCGGTTAAAGGAGCACTGACGTCAAATTTACTCATGCCAAGATTTTGTGTCAGCGAGTAGTTATAGACCCTGAAGAAACGATTCCCGACCTAAAACGCAACTGAGGGATGAATAACTATCTCTTTTATTGATTTATATTACTGGGATCTAGCACAGTCAAAAAACGGCCGGCGATCCCGCTATTTTTAGCGCTAGGAGCACCAGCAGTGGCACAACCTCACGGTCACCTCCAGATCACGCCACAGCTTACCACTTCTCCGCAGAAAAGAGTGATGTCAGGCTCAGCCGCTCCACAAACATTTCGTCTGCTAGGTGGACTCATTCAGTCATGCCTTGTCACCTGCATTGCTGTCGTCGCCGTACTACTTGTCGACTCGTGTTCAATAAGATAGTCTGGAGCTTGGAATCCCCGCGATTGGCTACGTCGCGCATTATTTTTGCTTCGATCGACCTTTTACAGAACAGTGATTTCGAAATGGACGCCGTTCCAAGCAGCACTGCAGAGGTGGCCGAGGATGCACGCTTCAACCATGTTCGCTCGTGTGTCTCAGCTATTTTCGTGTGTTTTGGCGTGCAAAGCATTCAGGTGTACGCAGAGGGGTCAATGCTATAGAGCTATCACGAATGAGCATCAGCGGAGAAATAGAATACGTTTCTTGCTTGTCAGGCTCCTTTTTGCGCTTCCAGATGGCTCCACCTATGCAGTCTCTCGCGGTTAACATGGTGTTACCACTTTTACGTGGACGCAAAGTCTACAGATGAACGAAAATTCAACCATACCTGCGTGTAATTACTTGTTAGCGATGATATCTGACTACACGCTCTTCCACTTTTGATAGCTTGTGGTCGTGTTGATGTGTAACGTATACGTGATATGAAAAGACACCCTCATTGCGCTTTTTCCGTGCTTCGAACTAGACGACTGCAACTCACCTGAAACTCACTAAGATTCTCCGACATGCTGACCAACAAGCACACGTTTAAGCATGCTCTTGCCATTCTTTTAAAGGTAGTTTTTATCTTGATAATTTTATGAAATCATTCAAACCGGTGCGATGAAGATCAGACACGACGAGCCACGGTTGGGCTAGACTGCATCTGCGCGCGCTAGCTCGTCCGTGGACGAGCGAATGCGTTTCTGCACTTCGGCGCCATGATAAGAACACTCGGATCGTACACGTCATTGCTGCTAGGGCCTCGTCACTCAGAATGGTATTTGTGGAATGTATCACACCGAACACCTAGCACTAGTTTCGATGTCGCAGGGCAGCCTATTTTTCTTTTTTTCTCCTTAGCTTTTCTACTCTATTTGACATCGAATTAAAGTAACTTCCACGTGACATATGCCGTTCAAATTTGGTCAAGAAGACTTATGCATACCAAGCGACAGAATGATGGGCACATTCCGATCTTGAAATTTGATGTCAGTGCTCCTTTAAGCAAGCATAGGTATGATGGGTAGTGCATGGATTTGTCTAATCTTCATACTTTCATCTCAGCTTGACTTCACGTGGCTTAGAGCTGCTTTCTTACTAAACAAAAATCAGTAAAATTTTAGCAGTTGCCCTTCACTACTTTAATCTTTTAGGCTCACCAATCGAAATTGGGTCATGGAGTTTAAAACCGTTCGTTGTTTGATACGGAACAAAGCTAAAACACAGGAATAAACAAAAGTCACAAGTGTGGTCGTAACCCACAAGCACAATGACTAGGCGAATCCGTGTAATACCCGTCATTCCCATGGTCGCTGAACGATTACAGTGCCAGAGTTCTCTCTACTTAGTTTCAGAAAATTTTATGCAGACTAGTGTGGCTACAATGGAGGTATGTGAAAATATTCATGGCATTTCCCCTGTCTAGAGGTGCCACCTTGAGCAACATCCACTATGTCAAGACTTAATGTGACAGTTGGAGGCGCTGCCTGCTAGCATGGGAAGACAGCAATGTATCCCGCTCAAGTCGGAAGCTTCTTTAGCTTCGCTGGGGTTCCACATGGTTTTACAAGTACCTTCTGTTGGTGTTTTGTGATAGAAATGGCATCCACAGATCTCTTATCCTTACTGCCACTTCCCTCTCCTACCCTCTTGAAGCGATGGGAACGACGCTACAAATGAGCAAAATAGCTGCGACGTGCTTCATTTCATGAAAGCTGCTACATCTGTGTTGCGAATGAGCGAAATCGCTCTAAAGCTGCTTAGCATAGCCTCTGTGATCACCTGACATTGTGCTGCTTAATCTCGGAGGCCGTCACCAAGTGGATTTTTCAGTAAATACCAGCTGGCAGACGGGCTGTTTGCTGCCTTCATCTCTTGTGCTACCTTTATGCAGAGCTAATTCAATACAATCTAGTGCATCGGTTATGCTAGGCCATGTGCCCACGTGTGGCTTCAGTTGTGTGAGTGTAGGTACCTAGTGACACTGTTGTTTGAGTTGAGTGCAGTTGTGGCTCATTCCCAGTTTTTGCCGTGCCCATTGCAATCCTATTGGCGGCATGACGTCCCATTGTGAGTTTAGCAATGTTGTATTGTTGTACTGGTTGTATGAGTACACGCGTCCACTACGACAGTTGTGTCATGGCACTGTGCACTCAGTAATACTTTATTTTATTTTATAATAAAAGCATTAAAATGCTATCTGACCTGTCTTTTTTATTTTGTCTTGTTGCTGAAAAAATGGCAGCGTTGCGATGCACTGCTGTGAGCTCCTGAGGTGTGTTGTTCTCCATCGCACCTGACGCCAGGTGTATCGTAGAATGGAGTCTTCTTGTTTTACAGTGTGAATTAGGAGGGGAGAAGGCAGCACATAGTTAAGGTTCACTAGGCCTCCACACCCATTAGTCCAGGCCACTGTCTCAGAGGTGGTTCGAGACTGGCTTTAATACACTGACATAGCGCTAAGCTCATGCGATAATGACTCCTTGCACCCCTCCTCTTATCTGCTGTGCTGCGCAGTTAGACAACCGTGCGGTGGATTTGATGGAGCCTCAGGGCGATAGTGACACCGTCTGTCGAACCAAGTGTGAGGAAGCTGCACGCCTGGTGGGTGGTCCGGTGCTGGTGGAGGACACATCGCTGTGCTTCGACGCCCTGGGCGGCCTACCTGGGCCCTACGTCAAGTGGTTCCTTGACAATATTGGCTCCGAGGGACTCCATCGCATGCTCGCGGTTAGTGAGAGCATCGGCACACATGTTGTGTCCCGTTCTCATTCTAATGTTCGTTCCCATGTGGTTAAAATATGACAATAATTACGATTGGTAGCCATATAAAGTAACTTTAATGCAAATATATTTGACTGGCACATGTGTACCTGTGTCGAACACTTAACAATATGACTTGGGGCAGAACAGTGTAATCTGGCAAGCTCTGTACGGTCCTGTGATCAAGGCATAACTTGTTCAATTGAAATGACATGACTGATTCTCCACAGTTCAGCGAAATTTTGCTTGATGTCGGCTCTCAGTTTAACCTTTTTAGACGCCACCTATTAAAAATAATCTATAGATGCATGAAATCGACACAAAATATTTCAAGGCTTTTGATACTTTATTTTAGTAAAAATATCATAAAACATTAATTTTTGTGTTCTTGTTATTTTCAAGTAAACTATAATAAATATATTTCTATTCTTATATCATTCATGCTCTATTTTTGCATAGATATAATTCATTCTCAGGCGAGAAACATGGTGCAAATCAATTTTTCGCAGTGTTAATTCCAAGCAAGAACAACAATTATACTTCTTGTGGGAAGCGGCAAGTTGCATTTGTTGAATGTGGTAGTGTCTGTAGCAAAGTGACGGTATATGTTCAACAATGGGAGACTGCTAAATGAAGTTAAATGAAGACACATTTTTCACACGAGAGGTTCAGCTGATCAAAAAGGGAATGTAGTAGTTCCTACTTCACGAAAGCTATGATTGAACGCATAATGAATACCTTGCAGAAAGTCACAACTTCAAACACATTTGGCCTTGCTCCGAAATTGCGCTGCACTGAGAATTCACATTAGGCAGCATTGTAATCATCGATGCATTTTTCGCTTTGCAGGGCTTCGAAGACAAGCGTGCCGAGGCAGTGTGCACATTAGGCTTTAGCGCAGGCCCCGAAAAGCCAGTGCGCCTGTTCCATGGGCGCACGCGGGGCATTATAGTGGCACCACGAGGTAGCAACAACTTCGGATGGGACACATGTTTCCAACCGGAAGGGTTTAGCCGTACGTACGCCGAGATGAGCAGTGCTGAGAAGAACGCCATCTCTCACCGGCACAGGGCAGCGGAGGCGCTCCGCCAGTTCCTGCTCTCTCCGGATGCTGCGCGCGAGTGCCCTGGAAGTGTGTGATTGTTTTACAGTGGCATATACGTCAATTTCCTCTGTAAATTTTGTCGATTGTCAACTGCCGTATTTGTAGTAATTGCAAGGATTTCTATTTCACTTGTCTCTGCAGTCCACTGGTGAGTTTACTGTTAGGTGTTCTGTTAAAAAAAATTGCGTGTGTAGCAAATTTACTGTAATTTAATCTAAATCAATGGGTAATTGTTTCTGAATTGTGGCTCGTTGATTGCAACGTGTTTTTCATGTGGTACGATTACACTGGGGTAGGCAGAAAAAGGTCTGTGACCAAGGGCTGAGTGAAAGTTATGTGATGATGATGATGACAAACTTTATTCAAAGATAGGCAGAGCTTGTGTGGATTGCCCCCAAGGTGCTTTGCTGATGGTTGGGGACCCTACTCCAGCGCACTTTTCTCTCTGCCATCCCGAGCAGCCTCATTTGGTCGTCGCGGGCCGAGCTGGACAGCAGTTCCTCCCATTGCTAACTTGTGGTGTTCATATTGTGGTGTTCCATGTTGTGTAGCACGCACTCCTACGTTATGTGGTACAGTCAAAGCTCAATAAAGCTTGTTGTTGAGCTAGTTGGTTATTCATCGTATTGTAAAATAATTAGCGCAACCTTGACTCTCGCAAACACTCCCACAAACACTCACACATCCACCTGAGTGTCGTGTGTGTTACTCGGGTGGATGTGGCAGTGTTGGTGCATTTGCGAGAATCAAGGTTGCACTAAATATCTTACAATATAACAGTCAAATCTCGTTAATTGAGGACTTCACCGGAGAGAATAAGCAAGTATGAATTAACTGTATGCTGCATAACGCCTCATTTACAGTATTAAGCAAACAGTAAATAAATGTCTGTTGCACTTACACCCTTCATTTTCTTTATAAGTACATATGTTCTCTACATTTTGTTAAAGTGCCGTTTAAAAGCCACAATATTCGTCATCCTAGGACTTTGCCAATGTGGTTACATAGTGAACAGACTCTCATGTTTAATTAGTTTGAACCTGCTTGGTACTCCTCCCTTATTATATACCACCACCACGTACAAGTGGTGGTATTCTTTCGCAGGTAAAATGGCCGTCAACTGATAATTTGTTTATCATGATGTAGCTGACTATTTTTATTCTAGCATGGCAACCATTTCTAAAAGCTCTTCAACATTTTTCACTATGTCTGAGTTTTAAGACAATTCACATACATTGCCTCAAATTAAAACAAAGCTGGAGAGTGCAGTATCCACATGTGGACAAAACTGTGGCCGCCAAGTGATCAACATAGCGATGCAAGCAGCGCAGCCTTTCGTTTTTGGTTGTCTGGGAATGCTGCTTTCACTGTACTGCACAGGACTTTTTCAATGCTTCGCAGTTGACACGCTTGGAGAATCATCTGAATTAACCGGGTTGCTGCCAAATATCACCGCAACAACGAGAGTTTGATGGCAATAAACTATGCATATGCTCGTCGAAACAAGAGAACATGTCTGAGTTATCCAAATTTTCGAAATAATAAGGGTAGAATTCATTAGCTTTTACTGTACGGGCAACGTTTATAGATTCTTTTTTCATTTCCGAACTTCCCACTTCACCTACGGGGAGCAGGCGACCGGCTGCAGTTCTTGCCACCGCGGCACTGCAGTCGAACGTTGCGCCAAGCAAACGAAGGTCATCTGCTATAGCTAGGCGCAGTGTAGCCGATGTGCAGCGCTCACACAATGATTTAGAGCCTCCTGCAGCATCTTCTTGTTTTAGGCATGAGGGGTATAATGTCAGGCCTAGATGTGTGTGCAGCGTCTTTCTGGTTCTTCAATAAAATATAAGCTCGTGTAAATGTGGTTCTAGATGAGCACATGGAGCATTTTCTGGAGTTGCAAATACTACAGAGGCGGGCTGCATACTCCTGAGGAGGAAGCCGGACATCTAGAAGCTAGACGAGTTGGCTGACGGGGACTCCGAGCGGTGACCGAGCCATGCATCGCTGTGCCAAGCTATAAAGTGCTAACTTTTCATATTGTTGTCTCTTTTCATTACTTGCAAAATTTTGCAAATCTCAAGTTCCACCAATAAAACTGTGACAGAAGATAATGAAATGGTGTCTTACATGGATGGGCCACTTTATTTCAGGTCCCTTATTGACACACAACGGCAATTTGAAATGTGCATTGAAGAAACTTTTTTTAGTGCGTTTAACTGTACATTGATAAACAGGTGCACTTCTAGCTGAAATAGCCGCTATTGGAGTGATCCCGTCTAATTATTAGCAGCTCACAAGGACTATTACTAGTAATCTTGCGTGCCTTCAGGAATACCAACGACAAAAAGCAGCCATGAAAAAAAGAAACTAAGCTAAAAAGTTGCTAAAACGAGTCAAAAGCACTTAAGTCTTCAGAATAGTCATGTGGGCATGAAGACATATACAATGCTTATGTTTGGACGGCTAAATTCGAGATCATCTTGGTGGACATGCAAGTGATTATTTCACAAAACCATTAAAATAGTAATTGCTCAGATTCTAGCTTAAATTGTTGTCTTAAGCAATTATTTCACGTATGCTGACAAAATGTCTTGCAAATAACACACACTTCATGGGTCTTGCGTGACTTTTCTTGAGATGACCTGAAAAACCAGTCTTGAGCGACAATAAATGTGAGGACTGCATAAGTGTGCTGAAAATCACGATTGCTGAGACTGTACCCCGACTGAAATTCAAAGACTGGCAACCATTCCTTGTAGTATAAGAAAATCCGAGCAGTTAATATTACTGAGCAGCAATCCATACCTGATTTTCTCGAAGGATGTGCATAGTTCCTCACATATAATGTTCCTAATGCTGATGAGTGCAGAACAGTGCAGAGTGCCCTGTATGTGGAATACTTTCGATTGTCCTGTTCACTTGCACTCTCACTTTGAGGCAGCATGTAGCAATGTGTGGTTTCCAGAAAGAAAACTTATATTCAACAGTAACGTAGCTTTTTGGGGGGGTTGGTTTATATAAATAGAAATAAGAAACCAGTGAAAAACCACTTGAAGACAGCGAAGAAAAACAACCACACAAGACAAGTGCTGAAGTTAACTGCAGCGCTTGACCTGTGGGGTTGTTCTTGTCTTCGTGTAGTTTTTTGCGGTTTTTCTTTCCTATTATACAAAACAATTCTGCCCGAGTCAAAGCCACATATCCAAACATTGTTTTTAGATGCGAAGCAGCTTATGGCGAAGTTGAATCCGGTGTGCAGCATGACCACCCCTACTGGTAACGCTCTACAGCTGGCCGAAGCACTGCGAGAACGCGCTATCGCGTTCCTGCCTGTCTATGGGGCTGTCTAAAAGGCTACGGCCTCTTTCCTTTACACTTTCTCAGAAATAACGTGATGGCGTCATGGAAGTAGATTCTGCAGACGCGCGATGAACCCACCCGCTCCCGCGTGGCATGCCGAGGAACCCACGTAGCGTGCTCCAACAAGAGTTGGGGACGAGTCACAGCAACAGGAACTACAGTGCATTCATGGTATGCTCCACTTGCAAGGACGTGTTAACATCGGGCAAGATGCCCACGATGGTTGGAACTTTGAGTCAACTCATGCGCTGCTTTGCAGGCTAATCATAGTTCCCTTCAGTGGGAGAGGGTGTAATTTAGTATGTTATGTTCGGTAATGCATGCGCCAAATTCAAGTTTTGGAGCTAGAAACATGCCTTGGTTGCTATGTCTTGACACGGATTACTTGAACACGCGGGACTGTGATGTCCTGCGCGTTCGATCGAGTAATTTGGTTGAAATAGTAGTTTGAAGTAGCCGAAACTTCTTCCTTCTGCCGCAATCGATGTGCCAGTAGCCAAACTAGCGCAAAGTACCTGGAACCTCTGCTGCAAATAACGCAAACCTGGGCGTTAAATGCTATTTAATTTTGACCAGTTGATGAATTTGTTTATAGTTACAAGTGTAACATCCCGCTGGAGATTATGTCTTTTCCCACACTTTTTTTTTCTATTCACAGCATTCTTGCATAGTATCGAGCATTATTAAAGGGAGCACTAAAACGAGGAGGATTTCTATTTCGAGCCCCATAACTGCAAGTAAACATGAAAACGTAGCTTGTGCACAGCTAGTCTGTCAAGAGGAGCCACAAAGTTAAAGTCTTATGCAAATCTAAGCTACCATTTTCTCATATGTCTATGTTTGGACGTTTTCACTCGTAAGAGGCATTTATCATCATTCACACATTCACTGCAGTGATTCAGGTGCGCTCCTTTGCGGACAGAAGCAAGACTCTGATGTGATTGCTAATAGATATACTTAAAAAATGACGTCTTTCCAGTAAATTAAGTACTTCAAAAAAAAAATTGCCCGCAGCTTCCCTCGGGGGAACACTGAGGAGGATGCGGAGCATATAATTGGTTAACGGGGTGTTAAAGTGCGACTTACTTAGGTCGATGGCTAAATTGGTTAACGTGGTTGTGAAATGGGGTGTTAAATTGCGACTTACTTGGGTCGATGGCTAAATTGGTTAACGTGGTTGTAGGAGAGTGTGTTAATTGAGTGAACACGTACACACGTATGCGAAAGGGCGGCGCTGGTCGAAGGGACGTCGATCATTGTGTTTGTGGATTCGTTGGAATTCATTTCACCGCGACCTTGGACGTCGACGCGCCGTACAAACCAACCGACGAGCGGCAACTGAGCGAGCGAGCGCCGACCTTGAGTATATATACAGCACGACTGCGCATGCACTGTCAGCTGTTGAATGTTCTCGAAGCGCGACGCCACATGCGCGTCCACTGGAGAATCAGGAGAATTGTAGATGTCGAACGCGGTGTGTAGAGGAGGAAGGGTGCACAGATGGTGGAGGAGTGAAGCGCGCGCGGTGTGTAGAGGAGGAAGGGATGCACAGATGGTGGAAGAGTGGGCGACGGCGCGACGGCGCATGCGCGCGCGTCAGCTGTCGAATGTTCGAGAAGCGGTGCGGACGGCGCGGACGGCGCACTACAAGGCGCGAGTATAAGATGCTTCCGCATCTAACATGTGCAAAAAAAGTACGTATACACCCAAAAGTGACACAGTGTCAAGCTCGCATTAGGAGCCAGTAAGACGCCCTGTGTTTCTAAACCATGACGTTAGAAGTTCATGAACGTTACGGAATAAAATCAATATTCACACTCAGAACAACAACTTCTATTACAAATTTAACATGTTAATCAATTAGGCAGTACTTACTCAGCCGGCACAGTATCAATCACCATGCCCCAGGGTGACAGAAGTCCTGGATGCACGACGACGAATTCGCAACACATGAAAACAGACCCACTCGAAATGATAAAAAAAGGGGGGGGGGGCATTCACACAACATCAAAAAGTTCAACTTGCTTTCCAATTAGCCTGCATAAATCAAAAGGAAACAGTGGCAATGATTAATGCAAGGTTGAGTACCCTTGTTCTCAGACAGTTTGCGTGCTGCCTTCTCGTTCATACTTGTTACAATAGGATCCATCAATATTGTAGTTAGTAAGGATGCAAAAAAAGTCGCTATCAAAGTGCAGCACTCATTAAAACCTTTCTGTCATAAACAGCAGCCATACACACTAGTCATTACAGCGCAAACTATACGCATACAGGTGCCCCGCCGCGGTGGTCTAGTGGCTAAGGTACTCGGCTGCTGACCCGCAGGTCGCGGGTTCGATTCCCGGCTGCGACGGCTGCATTTCCGATGGAGGCGGAAATGTTGTAGGCCGGTGTGCTCAGATTTGGGCGCACGTTAAAGAACCCCAGGTGGTCAAAATTTCCGGAGCCCTCCACTACGGCGTCTCTCATAATCATATGGTGGTTTTGGGACGTTAAACCCCACAAATCAAATCATCAATATACGCATACAGGTGCCGAGTACAATAGAACGATAGATACTCTAGGAGAATGCAATTATATTGAGTAGAAAACAGATTGAGCTCACATTATGTGTGGGCACCACGGATTCTAACAGTGTACAGAAAGGATGTAACTACGCATAGCCGGAATAGCACCGACCAGCTTTTTTAATGCAGATGGTGTGTGACGACCAGCTACTTTTTTTAGCATGCTAGTTTCATCAGTAGTTGGTGACATTATTGCACAATGTTCATAGCAGAGTGTGGCATCAAAAATAACGAGACTATGAAGTTATGTGGATGTAGAAGCGGGCTGTGGCTTTTTCTTGTGAGTGATAAATAATAAATATATATTTATATTGTTTTTATTTCATCATCATCATCATCATTAGCCTGACTACGTCCACTGCAGGACAAAGGCCTCTCCCATGTTCCGCCAGTTAACCCGGTCCTGTGCTGCCAATTTATACCCGCAAACTTCTTAATCTCATCTGCCCACCTAATTTTCTGTCTCCCCCTAACCCACTTGCCTTCTCTGGGAATCCAGTTAGTTACCCTTAACGACCAGCGGTTATCCTGTCTACGCGCTACATGCCCAGCCCATGTCCATTTCTTCTTGATTTCAGCTATGATATTCTTAACCCCCGTTTGTTCCCTAATCCTCTCTGCTCTCTTCTTGTCTCTTAAGTTTACACCTACCGTTTTTCTTTCCATTGCTCGCTGCGTCGTCCTCAATTTAAGCTGAACCCTCTTTGTAAGTCCCCAGGTTTCTGCTCCCTAGCTAAGTACCGTCAAGATACAGCTGTTATATACCTTTCTCTTGAGGGATAGTGGCAATTTACCTGTCATAATTTGAAAGTGCTTGCTAAATGTGCTCCACCCCATTCTTATTCTTCCAGTTACTTCAATATCGTGGTTCGGCTCTGCGGTTATGACCTGCCTTAAGTAGACATAGTCTTTTACAACTTGAAGTGCACTAATACCTATCTCGAAGCGCTGCTCTTTTCCGAGGTTGTTGTATATTACTTTCGTTTTCTGCAGATTCATTTTAAGACCCACCTTTCTGCTGTCCTTGTCGAACTCCATAATCATGAGTTGCAATTCGTCCCCTGAGTTACTCAGCAATGCAATGTCATCGGCGAAGCGCAGGTTACTAAGGTACTCTCCATTAACTCTTATCCCTAGCTGTTCCCATCCTAGGCTTCTGAAAACCTCCTGTAAGCACGCGGTAA